TGGTGTATAGGAATGCCACTGATTTCTGTGCATTGATTTTATATCCTGCCACTTTACTGAATTCCTGTATGAGTTCTAGCAGTTTGGGGGTGGAGTGATGATTTTAAATGGCTGCCAAGGATTCTGATCACATGGGTGTGCCACGCTGTACTTAATCAGTGTCTTAGATGTTCAGGCTATGTCTGAGTCTTCGTTATTATTAACTGCATAGCAGTGACATCTCCATTTCACACCAACAGCATCTTAGCTCCTATCATAGGAGGGCTGTGGCTCCTATCATGCTGTGGGCAGGTGAGCCCAGAGAGGTTAGGTGGCCTGCCCAAGGTCACACAGTGAGTGGTGGGTCCCGGCCATCTGGCCACAAGGCTGACTGCACCCTGCCCAGCCGCCTTTCCCCAGTGCCAGGAAAGAGTGCACAGGTATGGCCTAGGTGTGCTGGGGACAGTTGGCTCCTAATATGTTGGTTTGGGTAGGAAAGGGTCACTGTGATTTCCCAGGAAGATGCTGCTCTAGGTGGTTTGTGATGGCCCTGAGGAAGGCCAGCTGGTCTCTCCTGCCCACACAGCAGCAAGCTGCCCTGCTCCCCACCCCGCCCCTGCCTGCCGGGGGCAGTGAGGAACTCGAGCCTGGGTATCGGAATTCCAGCAGCCTCGCAGGAAGGCTGTGAGGGTGGGAGCCAGTGAGGTCAAGCAGGCTTGGGCAGGGAGACCACCCAGTTCCTTGCTCCTCGAAGCCTCCACCTGAGGAGGGCAGGAGATATACCTGCCAGTGGCCTTGACCCTGGGGAAGCTTCCTCACCTGGTTCTCCTGTCCCCTTCACAAAGCCCTTTTGTACCTCCCTGAAAACCTGTCCTCACCCTTACTTGGCTCCAGCCCACTTCCTCTGAGGGACATGACTGGGTTCACTGTTGAGCGTGGGGGTCAGGCAGGGACAGCAGAGCAGGACTTGCCTTAGGCTTGGCATGGGTGTCCCTCTCTTACTGGCTATCACTGTCTGGATTGCTGAGCTTTTGCCCCTTTGCCCGAGACTTTTCAATTTTAACCTTTCCATGTTTTTCTCTAATAGGCCACCATTGGGATTGACTTCTTGTCAAAAACCATGTACTTGGAGGATCGTACGGTGAGTGCCTGACTTTAGAACGAAAAGCACAGGGAGGGCTCCTTTGGACTTACCAGCTGGTGCCTTTAGCTGGGCACCACTGAGAAAGCCCCTGCCTACCGCAGAGCTGGCAGGGGCCGCGTCACAGGGCCAGGGCCCTCCTCCAGGCCCCACCCCACCAGGGGGATTACACTGACGCCCCTGCCCTCCTTGTGACAGGTTCGGCTGCAGCTCTGGGACACAGCCGGCCAGGAGAGGTTCCGCAGCCTGATTCCCAGCTACATCCGGGACTCCACCGTGGCTGTGGTGGTGTATGACATCACAAGTGAGTGTGGGTCCTGGCTGCCAGAGGGAGGGTGGCTCACAGGCTCCAGGGCCTGTGTGTGTGTGTGTGTGTGTGTGTGTGCGCTTACACAGGTGCACATGCACGTGTGTGCACACGTGCATGCTGTGGATGCTTGTCTTCTGACTGCAAGAAGACAGGTCCTTGGTGGTGGGGGGTGAGTTGCCTTCAAACACGAGCATGTTTTCCACCTTCCCCCACCCTCCTGTGACAGGCCTGGGTGTATGGGATTGAGCTGGCCCTGCCCAGAGCAGGGGGCTGTGTGTAGAGGTGAGCAGAGGTAAGGCTGGCCCTGCTGCCACCCCTCCATGCCCTCCTTGGCCCTGACGGCCAGAAAGACCCCTATGGAGTGACTTGTGTGTGTGTATGTGTCAGGAAGGGAGAAGACACGGGTGTCTGGGCCAGCTGTGACCGAGCAGCCATTGTTTTGTCAGCAAGCATCCCAGCTCCTCCTAGGCTCTCCTGGGAGGGGAGGCCAAGCAGGTCTGGAGAGCCACACCGTGTGGCTCTTCTGGACAGGGCAAGTTCTTGAGAGAACTGCACAGCCCTGAGGAAGACTCATCGTGGGGGGAGGGGGAGGGGCTGGTGCAGAGTCTCAGCTGCCCAGGCAGGTGTCACAGAACACACCTGGTAAGCCCTTGTGCTGTGGTCACAGCTGTGGTGGGAGGACACTCTGGGTGCTGTCCACAGCACCGAAATCACACGGGGAGGCTTTGAGCCCGCTGCCCTTAGCTCTGTCCATCTCCCCTTTCCACGCCTCCCTCTCACCGTGGGTCCCCCACACACCTTGAATACAGGTGGGAGCTGGGCCCTTCAGCCTGGGTTCATGCAGCCTGACGTGAGCAGGAGGGAGAGCAGGCTGGGGGAAACTGAGGCTTCCTGGGATAGGCTCCCTCTCCTCCCCTCGGGCGTGTGGGCTGCTGAGTGCTGGGCATTGCCCTGCTACCACTCCCCAAGGTCTGTCACATCTTCTGACTGAGGAGAGGGCTGCCCTGAAATGGCCTTACCTCTTGTGCTGTTGTCTCTCCTGGGGCCACCTTGCCCCTCCTCTTACTTGCAGATCCTGAGTGTTCTCCTTGGAAACTCTGGTCTTTCCCGAGCGCCACCCCCACTCAGTGCGAGGCCACTGTGTAGGGCCCTCCTACCCCAGGAGCTGCTCTGGTCCCCCACCAACACACACACGTGCACACACGTTTCCAAGCTCAGCCAAGTCCAGTGCACCCATTTCTCACACTCTGCTCTGAGCCCCCAAAGTCAGGTCTGATTCTCAGGTGGGCCCCTAAAACCACTAGTCTATGTAGCAAATCATGACAGTGAAATTCCAACAGGGTGACCCCCCCCAACCCAGGGGGTGGTTCAGCAACATGAGGGTCTCTCCAGGGCCCTGGGGCAGGAGCTCCACAGACACACATGCTCCCCCGCTCCACACCCCCCGCTAGAAGGCCCGGACTCACTGGTCTGGGTGTGAGGAAGCACAGTGCCCCTCCCTCCTGCTCATGGTCTCATGCTCCCTCCCGCCTTTGCCCTCTCCCTGCTCAGGCTGACTCTCACTCTGTTGTCTCCTCACCTTCCACCTCCAGATCTCAACTCCTTCCAGCAGACCTCTAAGTGGATCGACGATGTCAGGACAGAGAGGGGCAGCGATGTTATCATCATGCTGGTGGGCAACAAGACAGACCTGGCCGACAAGAGGTAGGTGTGAGGGTGCGAGGTGCAGCATGTTGGCAGGTCCGGCCCACCCTCCACTCCCCTGCAGCGGGGATGCGTAGTGGTGAGTCTGTGCTTCCGACCTGTCCCCGTGTATCTGAGGAAGGCCCCCTGGGGACACCGGAGGCTTTGAGAGCACCTGGCAGACCCTTACCCACAGCGGCTCAGCTCAGAAGCCCCACCTTCCACTGTCTGCAGGGGCGTGCCTCCGCGAGCGGTCTGCATGGAGCCCTGTGCGCCCGGCCCCGTGCAGCAGTGTGCGGTCTGGGGCCCGGCCGTGGCCACAGCGCAACTGCAGACAGCACTCCCTTGGGCCCTCATTGGCTTCTGCTTCTGCTTTGTGTCTCTGCCCCCACGAAATGCCTGTGCCGGGGTAAGGTTCTGATCCCCAGGTGTGAACGTGCAGAATTTCCTCTTTGCTGTGCCTCCAGTGCACAGACAGGGCTGACTGAGGTGCCGCCTGCATCCATTCGTCCACTTATCTCATGGGACCCAGCTTGGTCAGATAAAGCAACAGGTCTGGACTACTGGCCTCCTGGAGCGTACTCTGACCATCTACAGAATTATCTGACTTAGAGCCTGCTTCATTAGAGTCCTATCCTTGAAGTAAGGGAAATGGGACTCCAAGCCCAGTTCTTTTGCTAAGTACCTCTCAGTACAACCTGCAGGCAGTCACTTTTAACCTCACTGTCCTCCTGTGGAGAAGGGGACTGATGACACCACCTGAGAGGCGCTGTGTGGTTCAAAGTACTTTCTAGACACAGGTGCACGGGACAGTTCTGTTGACTGTTGGGAAGGTCCACCGCCTGCCGCAGGGCCTGCTCCTGAGCTGGGAGGCACCATGGAAGGGAAATGGGAGGGAAGCTGGTGTCCTGCTGTGGCCCCGTGCCCTTCATCCTGGACCGGGGGTCCTGGATCCGAGCCCTGTCCTCAGGGTTGACTCGGGGCCTAGGCCCTCCTAATCTCAGGCTGCTCCTTCCGCCTCTACGGGGGGCTCATTTTCCCATCTCCCCTCACTCACAGGCAGATAACCATCGAGGAGGGGGAGCAGCGTGCCAAAGAACTGAGCGTCATGTTCATCGAGACCAGCGCAAAGACCGGCTACAACGTGAAGCAGGTAGGACGCACCTGGCGCTGATCCTGGCCGGCCTGGCCAAGGGGCCACGTGTGGCTTCCGGCCCAGTCAGTCATGGGCCCGGCTCCAGCTTGCCCTGAGGGGCTAGTGACCAGGTTGGGGCAAGCAACCAGAGCACCATGAACCCCACCTAATGGGAAACAAGCTAATCCTAGAGCTGAGAAAGCACGAGGGAGGGTGAGAGCACTCACTCTCCGGGCATGTCCGGAGCATGTCATCCTTAGCCACCACACAGCAACCAGTCGCATGGCCCCGTAACATGCTGGGTATCCAGCCACTAACTTCCTGCTGAGAGAAGCAGTATCTCCCTAGCATCTTACCTCACTTGGGATGGGGGTGCGGGAAATTCAGTCCGACTAGCATTTGGGGGTTCATGCCTTGCGCTTGGCAAGTGCTCAGGGCTGTGGAGGGCCAGGCGAGCTTGGAGGGAGGAGCCCGCCTGGTGCTGTTGGAGCTTGCAGTGTGGCGGGAGAGAGGGGGCAGGAGGCCCGGGGAATCAGGATGGTCAGAGAAGCCGTCGAGGAGGTTACGGCTGAGCCTCGCCGCCGGGGGCTTCCCTAGATCCACGGACCCCCAAGGATGGGAGTCCACAGGTGAGCGGACTTGGGTCGGAAAGAGCCACCCCTCCATCTTCACGCACCTCTGACGGCCTTTCAGCCCCTCCTTCAGCCTTGAATGCAGGCAGCAGGACTCTGTGCTGGTGGTGGCACCCGTGGCTTGATCACAGTACAGATCCCAGCCATTTTCTTGTCCCCTCGCGGTGTTACAGGTCTCTTGGCCTTTACGTGCGTCACCACACCAGTTCGCTGGGTGGGCGGTGGGGGGGGAGCTGTGTGACTTGACCTGCGGCTGGAAACACAGATGCTGCTGCGTAACCAACTGGTGTCTTCAAGGATTTTCGAGCGTATTTCAATTCTGAATGGTTTCCTCCGCACTCCTGCGTCACTGACTTCACACACTTATGAGGAGCCCATAGGCTCAGCAGACGTGCCAGAGAGGTCTCTGGTTCACAAAATGTTAGGAGCCCCTGCCGTCAAGGAAGAGAGGGCTTGAAGAGGTGAAGAGGGAGGGTGTTCCAGACCAAGGGTAACGCCTGAGCAAAGGTGCGGCAGGAGGGGTGCTGTGGCATGGGGAGGGGACTCTGAGTGTGGAGCATGGCTTGGTGGGGGTGGGGGGGCCCCTTCTGCCCAGCCGCCCCGAGCAGTGCCTGGGAGCACTACACAAGCTGCTCATCAGCTCTTGGCCTGGATACAGTGACGGTTCACCCGACAGGGGCAGTGCCCGTGGCATTGGGGAAGGTGGCAGAGGAGCGGAGAGAGACAGAATGAGGGGCCCCATAGCCCCCAGGCCTCATTGCCTTCCTCCCCAATTAGAGCGCCTTCAGCATGGCTCTGCTCATGCCCATGCCCTTCCCAGTGCTGCTCCGGTGTCTCTTAGAGCAGGAGCTACCTGTCCCTGGAGGCACATAGGAGGCACTGGGTTGCTGCTTTGTGTGGCCCTGATGGCAAGTCCCGCCTCCCGGAAGCAGTGGGCAGCAGTCCATAAGGCAGGTAGCTTCTGCCCTAGTGGTCAGGGGCAGGGAGACACCGATGTCTCCCTTTTCAGAATGCTCTGGAACCCAGGTGTTGGTCTAAGCAGGAATTAAATGTGGTCAGTTCAAACTCTGTGGCTCAGAGGAGGAGTCTTCATGCCGTGCACACTCCTGGACTCTTAAGCCTGATCGTATCTGCTCTCAGAGCCCCACGTGTGACCCCAGGAGTTTCCTTCTAACTGGCAGTTTGGCCACTGGCAGAGGCTGTGACCGATTTGACAGACAGACAGGCAGGCAGAGCAGGGCTGCCTGGGGCAAGGCCATGAAGGAAAGCTCAGGAGTGACCTGGCCCTCTCCACCCTGGCTCACTTCTTTCTGCCCCACTTCGGAACCCCCTCTGTATCCTTCCCACATCCCATACCCTACACCAGGCCCACCAGTGACTTCCCCATTCAGGCCCTCACCACCTTTGGCCCTGTCACTCAGCCTGGGTGCTCCTGGGCTCTAGGGTGAGAGCATGAACAAGACACGCCCTCCTTAGCTCACGGAGTCCCCAAAGTTGGAGTATATGGGGAGAGAGGGGGTGTTCAGAATCTTCTGGTGCCTTATACTTGTGTTTTGTACTTGTCACCTCCTAGGTTCCATGTCTGCCCTGCCTGACATCCCCGCCTACCCCTGCCCCAGTGTGCACGCATGCACGCACACACCACACACGTCTCCCCGTGCACTTACACAGACTTACACAGAAACTGCACATGAGCACACACTCTACACACAATCCCCCTACTCACACAAATGCACACACACACACACCGCACATCCACATCTTCCACACATACACCTCTACACACAACGTACACATCACACTAACACCCACACCCGAACAAACCCACAGCATCACATTCACAGTCCTGTGTGCTTATTCTCTTGGAAATCTCTCCTTCCGATGTGAGTGCGCCGCCCTGGCTCCCAGCACCTTGCTGCCTCAGTGCCTGTGGACCCGCAGGACCCCCGTGAGGAGAGGGTCATTTGTCTCAAGGGCAGGTCAAAAGTTGGTTCCCCAGACCTGGTCCCCACACAGGCAGTGGAACAGAAGCCCGCCTAAGGGTTTGCCTCCCGGGCCCTAGAGCATTTTGTGCACCGGGGTAGATCCCTTACAGTCGGCATGACCTGTGCTCAGCTCCTGGTGACCCGTGGTCAGCCTGCCTAGGTGAGAGGCCTGTCAGGGCCCAGACCTGTGACAGGCCCTAGGGGCAAGGGAGAGAGAAGTTAGGCGCAGCCCCTGCCCTCCAGGGCACAGTTAGCAGGACAGACAAGAGAACAAGGCCCCGGGTCAGGACGAGAAGAGGCAAAAGGGTGGAGACAGAGTTGGGGGGGCAGGGAGGACGGGGCCAGGGGCTCATGCTGCGTCTCCCCCTCTCTCCAGCTCTTCCGACGTGTGGCATCAGCGCTGCCTGGAATGGAGAATGTCCAGGAGAAAAGCAAAGAAGGGAGTATCCTTTTCCTTTGATAAGTGAGTGAGAGATGTGCTGGAGAAGGCATTTGTCCATTGACGTATTCACTTAGTACTTTCGAACAGCGGGCGAGCCCACGCCTGGTCTCCAGCCCATCCTTCCCTGCTGAGGAGTATGGTGTGGGCCCTCCTCTGGACCGGGACAAGGCTGAACTCCCAAGGGCTCTAAGACCTCGTCCAGTTCGAACAGTCTAAGTTTCTATTTCCAAATCAATGGGGGGTACCAGATGGATGTGAATGACCATGTGGGGCAGGGAGTGAGAAATAGTAACTGCCCATGTTCGCAGTGAGCATCACTTTGTATTTCACAGGTACCAGTAGACCCTCCACTGCATGGAAGGCTTCTGTTCACCCAGAACACGGTTCAGCCTAGTCTCCACGAGACCCTTTCCCCAACAGATACCTCCTCCCATGTCCTGCCCACTCCCTGGGCCCGGCCCTGCACAGCCCCAGAGCGCCCACTGCTCTGTGGGACAGGGTCTGCGGCCACTCGCACAGCCTGCCCTAAACCTCAGACCACACCCAAGCTGAAATAGAGGTTCAGAGAGGTAGTCTGATTGGCCCAGTGGGAAGGAAGGCAGTTGTTTGTTTATACTCTGCCGTGTTACCAAAAAAAATGTGTTCATGTATACATACACAAGAGAAAAATGTTATTTGTGTAGGTGTAGGGAAAATAAAAATAGGGGAAGTCAGAAAGTCATACTCAAAATATATGCCATGGCCAGAGTGGCAAGGAGGGAAAATGGGGTCTTAAGAAGCCTGGCTCTTTATAGTACGTAAAGCCAAAAAGAGTCTCTCCCATAGTCCTTAAACAGGGGCCATGGAAACACACGTAGGACGGCCACAGCAGGCCCCACAGCAGCGCCTCCTGTGCATCCACCCCGTCTGCCACCCAGTGCCACCCCACAGCGGGCCCACGGGGCGCAGCAGCCTGGCTGGGCATTCTGAACCCGTTCCTCGGGTGGTTCTGACGGGTACTCCTCCACCCACAGTCCCCAGTGCGCCCGTGGGAGGGGCTGGAGGCCTTTCCCAGGGCTGTGGCTTCCCCTCAGCAGCATCCTCAGAGTCTAAGTGACACACTCTGACTAGAGCTCAAGGGGTTACCGTGGCTGCGACTGGCTAGAGCAGGGCCCCCCCAGGCCTGGGCTCAGACATGGGAATCCATGGGTGGCCAGCAGGCCGTCCACTTCCAGTGCACTTGAGGATGGGACTGACTGCTGACAAGGCTGGGGCCCTGGTTACCGGGAAGGCTTCTGAGGAAGGGCCTGTTGTGCCTGTGTTTACGTGGTCATCCCACAGCCCAAGACTGGCTTTGCTTCGGGGAGGGGGAGGGGGAGGGGTTGTGGGGAAAAGAGGGGTGGGAGCCGGTGACCCTGCGTCCTTCCTCCCCAGGCCCAGCAAAGACCGGAGCCCCTAGGTATTGGTGCAAGGACGGAGCACCTGCACAGGGCAGCTGAGGGGTGCCCAGGGACAGGAGCCAGGGTGGCAGCTTCTTGGCAGTCATCTTCCTTAGCCCGACCCCCTGCAGTGATCGACATCAAGCTGGACAAGCCCCAGGAGCCCCCAGCCAGCGAGGGAGGCTGCTCCTGCTAATGCAGCCTGCCCGGCCGGCTTCCTTTGACACTACTCGCTTGTTGTGTTGCTTCCTATTGGTTAGCTTCCTAAGGGGGGTGGGAAAGGAGCTTATCAGGATGGGAGGATTTTTCTTTTCTCTCTGTCTCTGGGAGTAGGGGGGGGTGGGGAGGGAGGCTGGGCATCAGGGATCACATCACTCTTAACAGCTGTTACTTAAACAACTATTTTTTGGTTTGGTTGTAATATATTGTACTTTATTAAGATTGCCAAAAACTGTTGAAATTAAAAAAAATTTAAATCATGTGTATACAACTTTTTGCCAGATAAAAATGTAGTCATTTTTATTTAAAAGATGTGCTTTTTGTTTTTGTATATTTGTAAACTTACAGAGAACCTTTTCCACACACTTCCTCCTTCCTGCCCTCTTTGAATGGTTCATCACCTCTGCCCTCCTTCCACCCCAGCCCGATAAATTACAATTAATGGGGCAACTTAATTAGGCTCCAATCCCAGGCCCCACCCACCAAACAGGCCCTACCTGGCTAAATCAAACACTGAACAAAACAGCCTCTAAAGAGGCAACTTTCAACTCTGTCCTCCTTCCGTGGCCAGAGTGGGACATCAGCCATGGCCCTGAGCTGAATTAAGGCCTTGTGGATGGCAGGGAGCCCAGCGGGAGGCCTTACTGGAATTACTCCTGCCTCTCCCTTCCCCTCCCTGACAAGCCTTGAAGGGGTGGAGGGCACTTGCCACAGGCAGCCTGTGTCCTCTGTGGCCCCCTCAGTGATTGGCAGAGCAAGAGGTCGTCGGAAGGAAGGACGGGGTGCTGTTGGCAACTGTGGGCTTGTACAAGTAGATTGTGGTTCATAGCCTTGGGGCAACATGTGTGTTTCTGAAGACGTTCTAACCAACCTTCCCAGCGGTCCGCACCCATGTCCGGGTTGAATCTAAGGGAAGGGCAAAAAGAAACTCAGTGTGTGCTGCCCTGAAGCCCTCGTCCTTACACGACAGGGAAGCTAGAGCCTGTATCACACGGTGTTTGTGACTGGGGAAGGGGGGTCGACCGCAGTACCGCCACCTTGAAGACTCATGTTCAGATCCTCGGTTGCTAATACTATTGAGTGCTGTTCTGGAAAAGCTGACTTGCCCCACCGGCATCATGCAATTGTAATCATTGTGCACGTACCTTTGAGGATATTGTAGCAGCGCTCTGGTTGCCTGAGGGTGCTGCTGACGTGGGGTCTCCAGAAGGCTGCCCAGAGAGAGCCATCCTTGCCATTTCGACTCCTTTCTGAGAAGGGCTTAGTCCTGAGGGCCTGTAAAGTCTCTGAAGCGAATTCTAAGTGATGTAACCCATGAGGCCGCATTCCAAATAGACCCAGACTTACTGAACCGAGCCTGCATAGAGCCAGGCAGTAGGCAGCAACTCTGTCCAAAAACAGTAAACCCTGCCCTCCAAGCTGGCATTGTCTCTGCCTCCAGACTGCTGTCAGGCGTGTCCTAGGTGAGCTAAATGACCATCTGGGAGTGGGGTGGGATTCCTCCACAAAGCAGGACTCCAACAAGTTATTGCAGTGAATTTTGGAACTTCTCAGAAACTAATCCAAAATGGCAGCCAATAAGTAGACAGGACTCACTGGTATTTGTCCAGTGGGCCTGTCACACTCTCTCAGCTTAAGGAGACTGTGTGTCAGAGCTGTTGTTTAGAGAGGAATTTATCTTCAGGTGAAGAAGAGAGGAAGCAGGATTCTCACTGAGCTCCTCTTCCAGAAGACAAAGACTGATGTACGAACGTAATTCCAGTGTCATGTGTTCAGTTTTTATATGTGTGTACATAATTATATATAGAGATAGACTTGTGTATACACCTTCCACACACATTCTCACAGAGATACACGTGCTCAATGTATATTCTTGTTTTTCCTGCTCTCAAGTTGGAACTTGCATTGTGATAACAGTTTTGGAAATTCAAAAGTACTGCAACGTGTTGAAATAAGAAATACTTAATATTGTCAAAAAACTTGTGATTGTCTTGCCATCAATAAACTAATGCATAGATGTGTTCAACTACAGGCAAAAATAGCCATGGGAATATGTGCACCATTTCTCTCTATACTTATATGCATCGGTGTGCATGCCCATGTGGGCCAGTCCCTCCCACCATGGCACCCCCCACCCCCGCCAAGTGGTGCTTGTTGGAAGAGTGCTACTTACCTCGTGAGAATTTGTAGGAGTCCACGTTACAGCGTCCAGCCTGGTTGGCAGTGAGGCCCGTTGCTTTTGGCCTCTGGGACAGCCCCATTTGCTGGGATCTGCACTGGGTCCCAGTGAATGAATGTATGGTGGATTTTCATTTTCTTGGTACTAAAGAGTAGCTTTTCTTAAACATTCCTGTAAAAACAAAGGAGAAACTCCATTCCCTTCTCATGTGCACACATAGTTAAGGCACCACGAACACTTCTTTCCAATCGCAGCCTAGGAGCAGTAAGAGATGCGGTAGATGTCACATGGCTTGATGCGGCCTCGGTGAGCCCTGCCTTCCTGGCATGTATACAGGGTCCTCTCTGGAGTCCAGGCTCTCCCCAGCCTGCGGGCTTGAGGCGAGGGCAGTTGTCTCCTCTTGCCCTCCCGTCTTGGTGGTGCCACACCGTTCCATGACCCCCCTTCTGTCGGGCCTGGTTCCCACCCCTCACTTCCTGGCCTGTTGAGGTAGCCAGATCTCTTGCGCAGAAGTGGGTTGGCTCCTTGGCTCTCATTCTGAGCAAGTGCCATCACTGTTCCTCTTGCTTGTAGGTAGTATCTGGACTTGGAAGTTAAGGTTCAGTAATGAAATGATCAGGTTCCCTTGAAGAAGAGGGGATGAAATTGCCTCCACATCCCCAGTGAGTGTGACATCCCAGCCGAATCCAGATGGGCTAGCCTGAGGCAAAGCCATCGTTCAGTCGCCTCCCTAAGGAGATGGCCAGAGTCATCTTCAGGCCCTTTTTCTTTTTTGGGGGGTGGGGAGTGTCTCAAAAGCTGTCAAAAAAGCCCCTATTCCACAGGCATCTGAAAAACAGCGTAAGATGCAGGAGCAGATAGCGGGTTTATAAATGCACACACGTGCCAGAGTGAGGGTGGGATGTCAGCAGCTTAAGTGTGAGAAGTGCAGCATAGAGTCCGCGTCAGCAAGCCCGGCTGTTATGAGCGAGTCCCTCTAGGTCAGAGGCCTCCCTGCCATCACTGTCACCACTCTCTTCTGTCCGCATGCTCCCGGGTCTGAGGGGCAAGGCCAGGTGGTTCAAGAGTCTCAGGCAACAGAAACGAGAACGAAAATGGCAGCAGCTAAGCATACAGGCTTATCTCGAGTGCAGCGTCTCTGGCCTCTCGACGGCAAGCCAGTGCTGGGAGCCCCTGCCCTCAAGGACCAGCTGTGACAGAACGGCGCCGCTGGCTTCGGTGTCCTGCAGGCACAGCAGCCTCATTCCTTCACACGGCAGAAGGCAGCTGAGGGTGTCAGGATGTGAGAACAGGTAGCCAAGGACCGAGTCCCATCCGAGCCACGTGAGGGGCAGCCGAGCAGACAAGTTTTTGTGCATCCACCAAGCAGGGCTGTATGCTCACTAATTTCCAAACTACCTCTCCCCCGAGCATGTGAGGCATCCCCCCTAGCTACGGCAGCATGACGCGGCGGTCTCACAGCCTTTCCTGTCTCAGAGGCAGGAAGACTGAGGCAGAGAAGGGCCACTTGCTTCTGGTCACCCAGCAAGCCAGAAGCGGTCAGAGCCAAGGTGTTTCCATTCTTCAGCCATCGCCAACCTGGGTGTGCAGATGGGACCGTGCACTCGCACGTAAAGGGCTGCTGGGCACGGGTGCTCCTCAGACCACCTCTACTCTGGTTAGGACTCTGGCCAGCGTAGCTGAGTGAGCTGGGAGAGAATGCATGGCCATTTCACGCTCCTCCATTGCCAAGAAGGGCCAGTCCCCAAGCCCACTCTGATCATCGTGGGCAGCCACAGACCAGGGCACCCTTTTGAGTTTTTGTTTGAAACCAACTATCTAGGTGTTCCAAAACCTTGGGCTCTCATGTGTAAACTCTCCGGCGCCAGATCCCTGCGTGGCTGACACTCCCCGCAGGGTATGGCTTATCCTTGCAGTGGGGTTTGGAAACTTCCTTCCAGTGGGAAGCCTCCAGACGCGGAAGGCCAGCTTGCATCGTGTGGTGTGTCAACTTGTCCCCTCACGTACCTGCACCCATCCCCTTGAACGTGGTTGGCCATGAGGAGCACAGAGGGTGGCATTTCCATCGTTGACTGGCTCAGCAGGCATAAACGGCCACATTGACTTTACATAAAACTGTGTAAAATGTGGAAGACTCAGCATGTTGATCAAACAATAAACTGTCCTGATTCTCAACACAAAACATCTTGTCCAGTGTTTCTAAGTGGTGCAGTCATATATGGGGGGCCGAGGGGGAGGGGGAGGGCTGCCCAAAAACAGATTTCCTCGTGTGCCTGCTCCACAACCCTCATCCCACGTCTGGGGGCTAGGCCTGCCACCCAGAGCCCTCTGCTTCCTCCTCTTCACCCGGGCTCTCCACAGCCTCAGACACACTAATGAGGTGAAAGCGTCGCTCATTTCCATCACTCTGCCTAAAGGCTCATGGAAAGGGAAGCCCCGGGCTGAACGGAGACTCAGGGCTGTGTGATAACTTCTGTCATCCCTGGTCCCCACTTGCCAAGGCTGGGGGTTTTGAAGGGTGGGTGCAGGGACTGAATCTCTCTCCCTTCTGGTGGTCTCCAGAAAACCATTTAAAGACTTTAAGGTGAACCATAATCATCCTCCAGGTGACACCAAGCAGCCACATCCCACCTCCTGCTTCTCCCCACACTAATTAGGGAACATCCCTGAGAGGCCCCTTCAGGTGTGAGTCATCTCCAGACTAAAAGATGCCCTGAAGGCCTGGACAGTTGTGGGACCAATCCAGAGAGGACACAAAGGCCAAGATCAGGCCCAGAACTGCTCTGGCCTGAGAATGCTGGGAATCCTGGAGCTACGGAGTAAGCCAAGTTCACCAGGTCTCATTCGTTTTTTTTTTTTTTAAAGATTTATTTATTTATTTTGAGAGAGTGAGAATGAGAGAGAGAGAGAGTACATGAGAGCTGGGAGGGTTAGAGGGAGAAGCAGGCCCCTCGCCGAGCAGGGAGCCTGATGCGGGACTCGATCCCGGGACTCCAGGATCATGACCTGAGCCGAAGGCAGTCGCTTAACCAACTGAGCCACCCAGGCACCCCAACCAGGTCTCATTCTTCTTCGAGTTCAACCTCACTACATATCTTTCCCTTTCAAAGGTTCTAAAGTTTCTGGAATACCCCCCATCTGCCACCTCTAAATTAGGAGGGACAGGAAATAGATGTTCTGCCCACTAAACCTAACTACTCTGGCTGCCAGATGTACAATGAAGTAGAGGAGGTCCAGGGGATGTCAAGGGGCAGAGGCCTGACAGCCCAAGTGCACACACTTGTACAAACCAGACTGAAGCCAGGGGCAAGCTGTTCCAAGCCCACAACCATTTCCCAAGATTCCCGTGCTCAGGATGACAGGACTTGAGCTAACAAGGGGAGGCAATAATGTAGGACACAGCACTGACACACACAACCCTCCAGCAGCCCCGGCCCTTGCCAGAAGAACGGAGCCCCCTGGGATTCCCCAGACACAAACATGAAGATGACAGAGGGGTGGTGAATGACCTGTCCGACGTGCCCCGCGTGGCACTGAGGGATGCTGCTCCGGGGGGGTTTCCTTATCACTGCAGCTGCGTTTGTGTCCCGTGAGCAAGAGTGGAGAAAGGGGCTTTAGTAATCCTATGCTAACCTCAAATTCAGAAATGCCAGAATAAGTATGCCAATATACAAATATACCAAAAATACCACAAAAACACACATTTCAGTTGAACACAATAATCTTAAGTCAACGGAACACTAAGTGCCTCACACGTATCAGGACCCCAGGGAGACACGGATCCCAGGAGACACTGAGACAGAAGCCACGGGAAAAGGTAAGTGGCACGCCCCACTAACAACAGCTGTTGTTGACTCGGACCCCAGCAAATGGGCAGGTGCCTGGCAGTGGAGGCCTCAGAACCCTTGGCAAAGGGCTTGAAAAAAGAGCCAGAATTAACAGTAGGGCCAGCACCCCGACCCCTCATTCTGCACGCATGCTCCACACCCTGTGGAAGACCCCATTCCAGAAGCAGTGGCGTGCCCAGGGCACATTCATCGCAGCCACCTCCCTATAATGGCACCTCTCCCTTAGCAGGGAACGGGGTCATTCGTATCAGGTGGCAGCTGGCCCGTGAGCAAGTGGTGGGACCCACACACACCCAGTGGCCCAGACACCGTTGTGTTCCCAAGGAACTGTTGCAGGCCACAAGAGTCTCATCTGTGGCCCACAGCTGCGCCTTGTCTGCCAGTCCCCATGACTGATCTCTGCCCACACTTGCCTCCCATCTCATGGAGAAATGGGACTACTCTGGCTGAAGGGCTGAAGGGCCACAAGAGGATACCAGCAGACTAGAGAACACACAGGAACTCTCGAAACCCCTTCCCAGCCCCCAAGGACCGGTCACCATGATCTCATCCTGGCCCAAACGCACAATGGGATGACCAGCACCGGAACAGGAAGCAGGATGAGAGCACCCGGGAGGTGCTCTCACCTGCTTGCTTACTTCATACCCTGTGAGAAAAACTAAACGGGGCGTGCGGCCCAAAGCACTTAAAAACCAAGCCTACTGAAGGCACATGTGATACTCCAGGGCAGGTGACTTCGGAGGGTGCTCCTAGGAGCCCCATGTGCCTGGTACAGGACACACTGAGCACGCAGACTCGAGACCACACCAGATCTGCCACTGAGTTCAGTGTTTAGGAGCAGGGTCCTCAGAACAGCTGTCTGACGGGCACCACAGATCATTCTGATGCACACCAGCGTCTGAGAATCACTGTTTGAGAGGGAACTTTACTTTTTTGGTGTACTGCTTCCCGCAGTAAAGAAAACAATTTATTAACCAGAAAAAAACAAAACGAAGCTAAGAGAACACATGCCTCTTAACAGAAGTGTCAAGCCACTGATTTTTATTCACATGAGCACCTACTGTGACTACGTGAATGTGTCACATTCATCCCATTCTCCGTTGATTTCTGGTTCGTTATTCTTACCTGTCTCCTTGAATTACCGTTGGCTAGTAAGGAAAGGACAAAAACTAAGAATCCAAAGGATGGTAAGAACACAAGCAGCAATGAGGCTTTCGAATAAGAACTCTGCCAGGGTCAAGGCCCAATGTCTTCTCCATTTCCGCCTGCACTTCCTCCACAGGCGAGCAGCAAGGCGTATGATCTAGGGTTGGGGGCTGGAGGGCTCTCGAGCAGAGCTAGGGTGACCCACAGGAAGGGGGGAAGGCAGAGGCTTGGGCTGTAGTGCACACACACGGGGACACACTAATCTTGGGATGTTTTCGGCTCCATGCTTCTATTCTTTGACTCTCACAGCCAGGTGAGGTGCCCCTGCCGCGCGCTGAGCACCCCGAGCACCTCTCCTGTCATGGCTCTGACCACACTGTTCTGGGACTAGCTTCTCCCTCACCCACAGCTACCCTTGTCCCCTCTGAAGCTTTAGTGGGGCTTGTCCCTGAGTGTGTGAAGTAGGGACAGCAGTTTGTTCCTGTGTACGCTGCAATCTTCAGGCCCTGGAAACGTGGAACTCGGCCTGCACCCTAACACATGCTCCCCGTTGTACTCACTCTACCATTCCATTCGATTGCTTTGAGCCAGACAGGTTGTTTTATTTACTAACACATGAATAATTTATAAAAGCCATAAAAGAGCCAACATTCAAGAAGACAACAAAGAACATCACTTTGAAAAAGCTGACTTTTCTTTTAACCACCAGTGAATATACACTTTAAAAAACTATGGAGAACTTTTTTCATTCACATGTGTTCCATAACATTCTAGCTCTGAGTACAAAACAGGGGCTGGTCAAACAGCACAGGAACGTAGCCCAGGAGCCCTCAGCCATCCGAAAACTCACAACACTTCTAAATCTTCATATACTCCTCAATTAAGGGAAACCACGAGAACACACTAGACCCCTGGCATGTGGGGTTTAGCATTCATAGTTCTATCATCTGGGAATGACTCCAGGGGTTCAGGGCATGTTTTTGAAACCTAAGTACTATGAGGCTGGAGTCTGGACAAGTCACCAAGCTGATGAAGAACAGACCCGCCGTCAACACAGCCTTGCTGTCTCCTACCTGTCTCCGCGTGTCGGGAGACCGCACTCTAACTACAACCACACCTCTGACAATTCACAAAGGACTAGAGGATGGGCTACCCGCGAATGGCAAGGGTAGATGGAATCAACTGGTTCCATACACAGGTTTGTTTTCAGGAAAAGGGACTAACACACAGAAGCAGAGAATAAGAAACTTTTCAGATGATAACCATACTCTCATGAGAATATCCTCTCTATGCAGATCCACTTGTTATGGTCACAAAGACCTTAACCCTAGGTCAAGCATTCGCTAAAGGGCCACGACCTAAACCTTAACCAAGGGAAGACACAGAGGCAGGTAAGTGACTAGAAAGCACTGAGGGAGAACTAAACTTAAAAACCAAAATTCCAAGTTACTTTCAACAATTTGTTTCCAGAACAAGAAAATGTTTCTAATTACATTTTGTACCCCTTCTTTATCAACTCCAGGCTACCACACTGTTTTCCAAAACTGTCAGACACACACACACACACACACACACACACACACTCTCTCACTCTCACTCTCTCTCTCTCTCTCTCTCTCTCTCTCCTGTCCTGAGCTCCGGCCCCACCCCTCAGGCGATTTTAGCCAGCCATTTCTCCAGGTCCTGGATGTCGGCGGAGCCAGCGTCCCCTCTTCCGCCCTTGGCACTGCACTCCAGGAACTCCACTTTGAGGGGCAAGTGCGAGAACTCAAATTCTTTGCCTTTCTTTCCCAGCTGAGTAGGGGCAGGGCTGGAACTGTCCAGTGTGCTGGGGGCAGCGGAACGGGTGACTCGTAAAGTGTTGCTATGAGACAAAAGAAAAACAAGTCAGGAAGGAGAGGAGTAACTTTTATATAACAACTAAAGGCCTTTAGGAAGCCACACTCTTTCCTAAACATTTCAGCACTCATGACATAAGACTGTCAATTATGCTATGAAGACTGTTGACTAATCCTCTGCATTCAGAGATTGCTCTCAGACAGGAGAGACGGGGGTCTAGCCGAACTTGGCTTGACGAGAGCAGGTTAATCATGTGCCCAGGTCACACCAACAGTCTCTCGGCCCAGGGCCCCCCTTATCCCCTTCTGCGTGATGCCATTTTTGAACATACTTTTTAAATACATGCTATAAGTGTTATATAACTTAAGTCTCTGAAAGTTAAGTGTGGGAAAATGCAGTATTTATATTTATCATGAGTCTATGTGGATACGGAGCTTAGTAAAACCACAAACTCCAGATTCTCGTATCCAGTTTGGGCACAATTACTACTCTCCAACCTCTTTACCCATGAAAACCTTCCCAATTTAAGTTGTCTTACTGCCACCTGCTGGCCCCCAAAAAGAGTGCACAGCAATGCTCATGTGCCTACTCCTCCCACCACTTTTCTGCTGTCCAGAAGCAGTGGATGTGCTCTGTGTGCTTCCTTACAAAATAAAGCATTTTTTGGAGCTGTAAGACTGCATGAAAATTCGTGAAGAATCTGCAGGAAAAACTAATACCTTGTTTAGAAAGAAACACGCACACATGGAAAAAGTATTTTAAAAAACAATTAATATAAAATTCTAGATACTAAATTCAAGATATTGGGGAGGAGCCCTTAGGGCCTTCTAAGCAAGGTGGTGGGTCCATGGGTATTCATTTTACTATTCTTTAAATTCAATATAAAGGGGCGCCTGGGTGGCTCAGTCGTTAAGCGTCTGCCTTCGGCTCGGGTCATGATCCCAGGGTCCTGGGATCGGGCCCCGCATCGGGCTCCCTGCTCCGCGGGAAGCCTGCTTCTCCCTCTCCCACTCCCCCTGCTTGTGTTCCCTCTCTTGCTGTGTCTCTCTGTAAAATAAATAAATAAAATCTAAAAAAAAAAAAAATCAATTTATGTGTCATATGTATCCCATATGTAAGATATTTTACAATAAAAAAAAACTTAAAAAGGAAAAGAGGCCAAGCATAACATGTACTCAGCTCTTGCCATAAGGTGAACATAGTTAGCCTTGTTATTCAGAAGACTATAAAATGCTTCAAAGCTGATAGGGCGTAATTCTCACAAACACAGGATTAATCTAAAATCAGACTCCTGGGGCACCTGGCTGGCTCAGTCGGAAGAGGGTGCGACTCTTGATCTCGGGGTCATGAGTTTGAGCCCCACATTGGGTGTAGCGATTACTAACAAAAATAAACTTTTAAAAATAAAATAAAATCTGACTCTTAATTTAACTGATATTCACCTGGCAACTTTTTTTTTTAAAGATTTTATTTATTTATTTTAAAGACAGAGAATGAGAGAGAGAGAGCACATGAGAATACTGTAATGATGACACATAAATCACTTAACCCTAGCATAAAAGCTACAGACAAAAGTATTAAAGATAACTATGATGACAATAATTTATTAATGGATATACAATATAAAAATGTGAATTGTGGATAAAAATGTGAATTGTGGAATCAATAGTATAAATGAAGGGGACAAAGTTAATGTGTACAATATTTGTATGCAGTGGAAGCTGTTATCAGCTTAAAATAAGATTACCAATACTATGTTTTACAAAAGTCTCATTGTAATCACAAAGAAAAAACCTATAGTAGATACACAAAAGAAAGAGAAAAAAATCAGAGCATAACACCACAAACAAATCATTAAAGAGAAGGGACAAAAGAATTATAAAACAGAAGACAATCAACAAAACAGAATAAGTACTTACCTATCAGTATTTACTTTAAATGTAAATGGTTTAAATTCTCTAATCAAAACAGAGTGGATGAATATATTAAAAAGACAAGATTGAACTATATACTGTCTCCAGGAGACACACTTTAGATTTAAGGTTCTAAGTGAAGGGATAGAAAAAGATATTCCATGCAAATGAATAGGGCAAAAGGGCAGGGCTGGCTATACCTATTTCATCAAAACAGACTTTAAGTCAAAAACTGTCACAAGAGACAAAGAAAGTCATTATATAATAATAAAGGGGTCAATTCATCAAGAGGATATAATAATTGTAACCATGTATGCACCTAACATTAGTGAACCTAAATACATACAGCAAATATTAATAGAACTAAAGAGAGAAATAGATATCAATACAATAATAGCAGGGGACTTCAGTACCACACTTCCAACAATGAACAGATCATCTAGACAAAAAATCAATAAGAAAACAACATATTTGAACAAGACTATACATAAAATATTCCTAACAGACAAATACAGAACACTCCATCCAACAATTGCAGAATGCATTCTTTTTAAGTGTACATAGAAGTCTCTAGGATAGATAACATGTTAGGCCACAAAACAAGTCAACAAATTTAAGAAGACTGAAATCACATCATGTATCTTTTCCGACCACAGTGGTATGAACCTAGAAATCAATAACAGAAGGAATATTGGAAAATTCACAAATATGTGGGGAATAAATAACACATTTCTGAACAACTAATAGGTCAAGGAAGAATCCAAAAGCAAATAAAAAAATATTGAAACAAATGAAAATGGAAACCCAACACACCAAAAACTTACGGGATGCAGCAAAAGGCAGTTCTGAGAGGGAAATTTATAGCAATAAATATCTATTCTAAGAAAAAAGAAAGATCTCAGATAAACAACCTAACTTGACACCTCCAGGAACTAGAAAAAGAACAAACTAACCCGAAAGCTAGCATAAGGAAGGAAAAAATAAACATCAGAGCAGAAACAGAAGAAATACAGACTAGAAAATATCAATGAAACGAAGAGTTGTTTTTTTGAAAGATAAACAAGATGGACAAACCTTTAGCAAGGAGAAAGAGAGAAGACTAAAATTAATAAAATCAGAAATAAAAGGGGTAACTTATATCACAGAAATACAAAGGATAAGAGACTATTATTAACAAATTAGACAACCTAGAAGAAATGGATAAATTCCTAGGAACACACAACATACCAAAACTGAATCCTGAAAAAATAGAAAATCTGAACAGACCAATAATGAGGAAGGAGACTGAATCAGTAATCAAAAACTACCAGCAAAGAAAAGCCCAGGACCAGATGGCTCACTGGTGAATTCTACTAAACATTTAGAGAAGAATCAACACCAATTCTTCTCAAACTCTTCCTAATTAAAGAGGAGGTAACACTTCCAAACTCATTTTACAAGGCCAGCATTACCCTGATATCCAAGCCAGACAAGGATACTACAAGAAATGTATACGCCAATATACCTAATGAACATAGATATAAAAATCCTCAATAAAATACTGGCAAACCAAATCCAAAAGTACATATTAAATGGATTGTACATGATGATCAAACGGGATTTACTCAAGATGGAAAGATAGTTCAACATACACAAACCAAGAGAGGTGATACACCACATTAACAGGATGAAGGATAAAAATCGTAACGATCATCTCAATAAAGAAAAATCACTTGACAAAAATCAACATCCTTTCACGATTAAAACTCAACAAAATAGGCACAGAAGGAATTTAGCTCAAAATAATAAGGGCCATATATGACAAACCCACAGAAAATACCATATTCAACAGTGAAAAGCTGAAAAAGCTTTTCCTCTAAGATCAAAACAAGGATGCCCACTCTCACCACTGCTATTCAGCATAGCACTGGAAGTCCTAGATAGAGCAATTAGGCAAAGAAAGAAATAAAAAGCATGAAAATCCGAAAAGAAGATTATCTCTGTTCACAGATGACTTAATCTTATGTATATAAATCCCTAAAGACACCACCAAAAAAACCCACAACTACTAAACAAATCTAGTAAAGTTGCAGGATACAAAATCAACATACAAAAATCAGTTACGTTTCTATATACTACTAATGAACTATCAGAGAAATTAAGAATTACCAATCCCACTCACAATAGCATCAAAAATAAAATACTTAAGCATAAATGTAATGAAGTAGGCAAAAGATCTATACGCTGAAAACTGTAAGACATTCGTAAAGAAACTGAAGACATGAATAAAGGAAAAGATATCCCTTGTTCCTGGATTGGAATAATTAAATATTGTTAAAATGTCAGTACGCTGCAAAGCCCTCTACAGATTCAATGCAATACCTATCAATATTCCAATAGAATTTTTTGCAAAAATAGAAGAAACAATGATAGAATTCATATGGAACCACAAAAAGACCCGTAATAGCCAAAGTAATCTTGAGTAAAAACAAGCCAGAGGCATCACACTTCCAGATTTCAAATTATGTAACAAAGCTACAGTAACCAAAACAGTATGAAACTGACATAAGAAGATACATAGACCAAGAGAATAAAGTAGAGGGGCCAGAAATAAATGCCCCCACACATACAGTCAATTAACCTTTGATAAGAATGACAAGAATATACAATGGGATCGTCTCTTCAATAAATGATGCCAGGAAAACTGGATATTTACATGCAAAATAAAATTAGACCTTTATCTTCTACCATACACAAAAATCAACTCAAAATGGATTAAAGACTTACACATAAGACCTGAAGCCATAAAAATCAAAGAAGAAAACACCAGGGGAAAAGCTCAGTGACCTTGGTTGTAGCAATGAGTTTTTGGATATGACACCAAAAGCACAGACAACAAAAGGAAACAAATGTGATTGCTAAATTAAATAACTTAAGCAGAGCAAAGGAAACAATCAGTAAAACAATAACGTAACCTGGAACTGGAGAAAATACCTGCAAACCATATATTGGATAAGGGTTAATATCCAAAATATATAAGGAACTCCTACAAGTCAGTAACAAAAAAACAATCCAACTGAAAAATGGACAAAGGACAGACATTTCTGAACAGACACTTGTCCAAAGAGGACACAAATAGCCAGTAAGTACATGAAAAGGTACTCAACATAACTAATCATCAGGGAAATGCAAATCAAAACCACCATGAGATATCACCTCACACCTGAGATAATGACTAATATTAAAACAAAACAAACAAGTTGTGGAGATGCAGACAAAAGGCAATCCTGGCACACTGTTGGTGGGAATGTAAATTGGTACAGCCACTGTGGAAAACAGCATGAAAATTCCTCAAAAAATTACAAATAAAACTAGTACTATATGATCCAGCAATTCCACTTCTGGGTATTTATCCAAAGGAATTAAAATCAGGATCTTGAAGAGGTACTTGCACTCCCATGTTCACTGTAGCATTATTATAATAGCCAATATATGGAAGCAACCTAAATGTCCATCAAAGGATGAATGGATAAAGAAAATGTGGAACATACATACAATGGAATATTATTCAGCCCTGAAAAAGAAGGAAATCTTACTATTTACAACAACATGGATGAACCTGGAGGACATTATGCTGAGTGATATAACAGACACAGTAAGACAAACATATGAGCACACTTCTATGTGGGATCTAAAACAAACACATAGAAGCAGAGTAGAATGGTGGTTACTGGGGTGGGGGGAGGGAGAAATGGGGAGCCTCTGACCATTAGGTCAAAGGTTATAGAGTTTCAGTTATGCAGGGGCATCTGGGTGGCTCAGTCCGTTAAGCATCTGCCTTAGGCTAAGGTCATGATCCCAGCCCATGTCAGGTTCCCTGCTCATGGAGGGAGAGGAGCCTGCTTCTCCCTCTCCCTCTGTCTCTCCCCCCAGCTTGTACTCACATACTCTCTCGCTCTCAAATAAAATCTTTTTTAAAAAAAAAGTTTCAGTTATGCAAATAAGTATGTACTAGAGATCATACATTACATACATACATACATACACTACAGCATAGTGTCTATAGCTAACAATACTTCCTTGTATACTTAGAATCTTAAGTATTCTCATGAAATGTTCTCTCTCTCTCCCTCACACAAACACAAACAAATAATAAAGGGAGCAGGACGAAACTCTGGAAAGCAATGGATATTTTTACGGCCTTGATGGTGGTGATGGTTTCAAAGGTGGACACTTATCCCCAAATGCATGGAGTTGTACACATTAAATATGCACAGCTTTTTCCATATCAATTACCCCTCCATAAAGGGGTTTAAAAAATCTCTTTTGATATTCAACTTGAAAGCATGAGGTCTTTGATAAATCTGATTGAACAGCTAACTTTACTCTTCTATTCATATATTAAAAAGTTTAAAGCATATGGAATTAAATATGTCATTTGCAATTAAAAGAAAAAAAAAAAAAGAAACCACAGAAAATGACAGACCAGGCCTGGTAGAATTTTTCTGTAAAGAGTCATACATTAAATGTTTTGGGCTTATGGGTGACATTTAGTTTCTGTCACATATTTTTTTTTTTTTAAAGATTTTATTTATTTGAGAGAGAGAGAGAGAGAGAGCACATGAGAGGGAAGAGGGTCAGAGGGAGAAGCAGACTCCCTGCTGAGCAGGGAGCCCGATGTGGGACTCGATCCCGGGACTCCCGGATCATGACCTGAGCCGAAGGCAGTCGCTTAACCGACTGAGCCACCCAGGCACCCTCTGTCACATATTTTTTACTTTTCTTATTTTTTTTACCTGCCCTTTAAAAATGTAAAACTATTTCTTGTTTGCACACCCTGAGCAGGAATTTGTCAACCCTAAGCTCCTGAGTATAGGAACCACATCACATTTCCCCCTATAGCCACATCCTGAATGCAGGGCTTGCCATATACTAGATGAATTATAGGTACTTGTTAAATGTATAAAACAGTAAGTAAATCCTAGTGGTGAAAAAAATGCGCTCAAAGCTGAATTATTTTTTTAAGATTTTATTTATTTATTTGAGAGAGAGCACGAGAAGGGGGCAAGGCAGAGGGAGAAGCCGACTCCCCGCTGAGCAGGGAGCTGGACATGGGGCTTGATCCTGGGACTCCAGGATCATGACCCAAGCCGAAGGCAGACACTTAACTGAGCCACCCGGGTGCCCCTCAAAGTTGTATTTATACAATTTTTCCTCATCGGATTCTTTTCTTTAATAATAATTACAATTTAAAAAAAAGTCTACACAACAGCAACAAGAAAACATAACTTGCTTCATTATAATGCTGATGGTAGCTCTAGCTCTTACAAACTGGCAGAGTACACACATGCTAGATTTCTTAAAACTCAAAAGGCTATAGCTCACTTTACCAATTTTTAAACACTAAAATCAAGCTAAATAATATTGCAATGTAGCTGGAAAATAATAAAAATAAGCTATAAAATAGTATAATAGGTTTTTAAATTCTTCTAAAGCATTCCTTTCTTATTCTGTCAACAAAAATTTCATGGCTTTCAAATTTTTTGTTTCTAAAACCTTTCAGATCTACTATAAATGAAGTAGAAATAGTGGGAAAATAAATTGAGCTTATGGTCTCAATAAACCTGAGATCTTCTTTCCACAAATTATTAAAATATCCATAAACATCCCACTGATGCTTTTTAGAATTCCATTAATTCTTTTGTCAATTATTTAACAAATATATTTCACACTATTCTTTGCACTATGGTAATCATACACAATGAAAGACCTTAAGCAGTATATTCATATTTCCTAAGTTTTAAGATATACATTAATCAATATGACTTATTCATACTCACAGTTCTTTCTCAAGCTGCTGTTGAATTAACTTTGCGGATTTTGCCATTGTAATGTCTGTAAAGAAATGAAGACACAGTTATAGTTTAAACCAGAAAGGGTCTTTTCCCAAGACTTCTTGCACATATGGAGGGCAACCCTGTCAGTACCCCTCTCACTCTTGAGAGCTTTTTCTGTATCTTCACTTAATAAACTTCTAACACTTAACTCACACATACACAAAAAAGACTTCTTGCATATGTGGAAAATTCCAATTTAAACCAATAAGTTTTTTTCCCTTTTTTTTCCTAAAGAACTTTTTACCATTAGTAGCTTAACCACCAAAGTAAGCTTTATAATTTTCATGTATGGGTTTTCCTACAATAATGCTTATAAATGTATTAAGCTCATATCCCTAAAATTGATTAGCTCTTTCATGAAAGTTTTCTACATCTTACAGACCTCTTAAATCAACATATATATATAAATCAACATATATATAAGTCCAGCCAGTGTAACAGAAAGAAAACCTACCAGCTTTTTGATTGTAACAAGAGCCTTCACTCCAAGAGAAATATCCTACTTATCATATAAAAGTAAACTAAGCACATTCCCAGCTGATACTAAGATGGTAAGTTACTCAAGTGCACCTTGGTAAGAGAGGAACACTGGTTTGGCACCCAGCAAAAGCCAAATAAATATTACCTTCTCTCCCTATACCAAAGAGAAGAAACAGAGAGGCCAGGTATTGATCCTAACACCAATTCCAGATTAGGTATTGTTAGGGTTATTACTACCTGATCACTTCTGAGCAATGCACTGGGCTCTTTGTAGAATCAGAATTTTAATCTGAAAGTAGTCTGTAAAATCAACTAGTTTATCTTATGTTAGAGGTAATGAAACTGAAGCCTAGTTTTATCGGAAGTGATAGAAAATGTTTAATGGTTATGAGGTTATGAGGCGGCAAAAGGGAATGACACACTGACTTACAGAGTTTGTGCCTTTCTGTTACAAAGAATATTGGTGCTTAATGGAAGACAACACAAAACACAAACCCCCCTTGATAAAACATGCTGGAAGGTAAATTTGTTTGAAAGGAGAGACTCCCCACTGGACCTCCACAATTGTGTGTGATAGGACATACTGTCAATCTGACAAACTTAACTTGGTAAATAAAGTAAAATGATTTATAATTTTGTGAAATGCAAAACACTGTATCAAAGAAAAACTGGTGATAGTTACTCCTTAGAACAGCCTGGTAAAACTAATGAAAATGCAGGTATATAAACAATTTTAAGATTTAAAATCCTTCACAGTTCCTTAACAACTGTCTCTCATCCTCAATAATAACAACTGTAGATAACTATTATTAGCTCTTAGTAGCAATCCCAGAAAAATCTCAGTTATTATTGCTGGAAAACATGATGGCACCTTGCTTATTGCAGGCGATTAAGAATGATGGTGTGTTCTTCAGACTCATACTGTCAATGAGGACTTGATACAGAAACTCTGCCACATCTTTCGCCTCTCGCTGGAAGGCTGCACTGTCCACAACAAACACAACAGCCCTGGAGGGGGAGAAAGAAAAAACCAGCATGTAAGCATGCACCAGTGCAGCATTATGTTGAAAAGTTATATCCTTAATTTCATCCAATTCAATCCTAATGAATCACACACAGCAGACTCACATGCAAGTGTGCACACATGTAATCACACCATACAAATACTCACTTAACAAAGGACTACTGAGGAGATGCCAAGTGAAGTGGGTGCATTTTTGGTAACTGTGTACTTCTGGTGACTGTACAGTTTGAAATACTATTTTTTATCAAGTTTTAAAAAATGCAAAAACAACAACAAAAAACAAAGGACTACTAAGTGTTACCGTATATCAATGATCCAAAAAGACAAAAGGAAATCATGGCTGCCCTCAAAGACCAGGAAATCATCATATACAAAACTGTGTGATAAAATGCTAAAGCAGACCTATGCACCTGCTGTAACAGGAACAAAAAGGAAGACCATTTACACGAGAACAGGTCAAGAGGACTTAAAGGAGGATGTCAACAACTGGGCTGAATTTTAGCCAGGCAAAAAATTGGGACACAGACTGTGTGGGAAGTAGAATGTGCAGAGCACAAAGGAGTAGAACAGCATGGCCTAGGGAACTCAAGGTAGGCTGGTACACAGGGTAGAAACCAGTCAGGCGGCAAAAGGGAATGACACACTGACTTACAGAGTTTGTGCCTTTCTGTTACAAAGAATATTGGTGCTTAATGGAAGACAGATAAATCTAAGAGAGTAACCAAACTAGAAGCAGAGTGACCTGGTAGGGCCCAACCTAAGGCAGCAACAGTGAGAATCCTCACGTGCCACAAATAAAGAGGTATCAAAGCTAAAGCAAAGCAGTCCAGGAAAAAGAGCAGATCACAGACTCTAGGGACCAGGGTTTGAATACTCAGGTGTGACTGGAAATGAGCAATGGTCAACATGCAGTCGGGGAGCTGGAACTGAACCCCCTGCACGAAACTTACAACTTAAAAGCTATCTAGTGGAGGGGGGTGTGGGAAAATAATCCAAGAGGAACTGAAATACCAGGCCTCCTGTGCCACATAGATGGGGGGGTAATGAATTTACACTCTTCTGTGGTGTAAGATGCAGAAAGATTTATATAAAAACGGGGCCAGACTCAATGAACTCCAGGGGTCCCCAACAGAAGGAAATATGAACCCATTCTGGACAGGGGCTTTCATTATCCTACAGCAGTAAAAAACAGCAACCACAACAACAAAATATTAAAAATACAATACCATTTATATTATCATCCCCCCAAAACTGAAACTTTGGTATAAATCTAATAAAATATGTACAAGATCTATATGAGGAAAACTATAAAACTGATCAACAGAATCAAAGTAGAACTAGATAAAGAGATATCCCACAATCAGATAGGAAGACTAAACAGTTTCAAAACGTCCGTTCTTCCCAACTTGATCTATAGATTCTAATCAAAACCTCAGCAACTTATTCTGCAGATGCTGACAAACTGATTCTGTAGTTTATATGGAGAGACAAAGGACCCAGAATAGCCAACACAATACTGAAGAGCAAAGCTGGAGGATTGACGCTGCCCAACTTACTATGAAGCTTTAGTAATCAAGACAGTGTGGTCCTGATGAAAAAAGAGATCAGTAGAACAGAATAAAGTCCAGAAAGAGACTGCTATGTATTTGGTCAAGTGATAAGTGATCTTTGACAAAGGAGGGAAGGCAGTACAGATGGTCCCCAACTTACAACAATTCAACTTACAACTTTTTTACTTTACAATGGTGCGAAAGCAATACACATTCAAAGAAACCATACTTCAGATTTTAAATTTTAATCTTTTCCTGGGTTAGCAATATGCAGTACAATCTCTTGTGATACTGGGCAGCCGCAGTGAGCCACTGCTCCCAGTCAAGCACTGGATCAGAAGAGTAAGCAACTAATATACAGAACCATTCTGGTTTTTACTTTTAGTATAGTATTCAACAAATTACATTGAGATATTCAACACTTTATTATAAAATAGACTTTGTGTTAGATGATTTTGCCCAACCATAGGCTAACGTAAGTGTTTTGAACACATGTAAGGTAGGCTAGGCTAAGCTACGACATCTGGTAGGTGTATTAAAGGCATTTTCACCTTGAGATATTTTCAACTTACTGTAGGTTTATCAGAATGTAACCTCATTGTTAAGTAAGATCTGTACAACAGAACAAAGATAATCTTTTCAAATGATGCTGGACAGCTAAACATCCACATGCAAAAAAAAAAAAATGAATATATACAATGAATAGATAGAGACCATATCCTTTTCACAAGAATTAACTCAAAATGGATCACTTACCTAGATGTAAACCACAAAATCATAAAACTCCTGAGAGAGAACACAGGAGAGCATCTAGATATTTTGGGTCTGGCAATGATTTTTTAGATACAATGCTAAAGCATAACCCATGGGAAAAAAAATCTATAAACTGAATTTTATTAAAGATAAAAATTTCTGCTCTACAAAAGTCACCATCGAAAGAATGAAAAGATGAACCAAAGACTGGGAGGAAATATTTGCAAAAGATAAATCTGATAAAGAACTGTTACCCAAAATATACAAAGAACTCTTAAAACTCAACAATAAAAAACAACCCAATTAAAAAATGGGCCAAAGATCTTTACAGACACCTCACCAAACAAGATCTATAGACAGCAAATAAGTATATGAAGAGATGATCCACATCCTATCAATGTCATCAGGGAAATGCAACTTAAAGAAGTTAGATATCACTATGTATGTACTAGAATGGCTGAAATCAAGAACACTGACAACACTAAATGCCGGTGAGGACGCAGAGCAACAGGAACCCTCATACATTGCTGGTGGGAATGCAAAATGGTACAGCCACTTTGGAAGACAGTTTGGCAATTTCTCACAAAACTAAACATACTCTTACCATATGATTCCTCAATTGCAGTTCTTGATATTCACCCAAAAACTTATGTCCACACAAAACCCTGCACACAGATGTTTACAGCAGCTTTATTCAGAATTGCCAAAACTTGGAAGCAACCAAGAAGTCCTTAAGTAGGTGAATGGATAAACTGTGGTACATCCAGACAATGACATATTATCCAGCACTAAAAAGAAATGAGCTATTGAACAATGAAAAAAACATGGAAGTAACTTGAATATATATTAGTAAGTAAAAGAAGCCAATCTGAAAGGCTACCTACTGTATGATTTCAACTATATAGCATTCTGAAAAAGGTAAAATATGGGGACTTAAAAAGATGAGTAGCTGTCAGGGGTTAGGGGACAGAAGGATGAATTAGCAGAACACAGAGGATTTTTAGGGCAGTGAAAATACTCTGTATGAAACTATAAATGGCGAATACATGTCATTATACATTTGTTCAAATCCGTACAATGTACAACACCAAGAGTGAATCCTAATGTAAAACACAGACTCAGAATGATTATGATGTGTCAGTGTTAAGAGGTTCATCAGTTGTAACAAATGAACCACTCTGGTGAAGGATGCTTTTAATAGGGAAGGCTATGCATGTGTGTGGAGTGGGGAGTAATACAGGAAATCTTTGGACCTGTTGCTCAATTTTGCTGTGAACCTAAAACTGCCCTAAAAAACAGTATATTTTTTTTAAAAATTCACACAACAGATAGATTGCTCATCACCACCATCTTGTGGACAAGGAAGCAACAACAAAATATAAGTCAAGATACCTTCAAAAATAAGGAAAGAAACAACTGCCTCATTCCATCAAACCTAAGATTCCATCAATTAAAAGACACATTATTATTTCAAGTACAACTAAGAAAAGGAAAATGCTGCCAATTAAACTATGACACAAACAACCATAACTAGCATTCTAATTTTATAGATATTAAAATGCCTTAAAATCAATGAAATATGGTATTAAAAAAAATCAATGAAATGTGGCATATTGATTTTCCTCTTAAGTTCTTATCAGTGTTAGAGACAAAACAAGAATCAAGCATCTTCAACTGAAGCACAAGAATTTTAAGAGTAACACGAGGACAATAGTAAAAGACACATGAAAATAGTGTTCTGTATTTTGAGGCACTAAATTTAGGTAATTTAAGAACATAAATATATAATGTTGGATTTAAATAGCTTCTAGGATTTCACCTAGCTTTCAAATTCCTTTTTCGGATTTTAATAGTTCTACGTTATTAAAATTTATCCTCAAAGTAAATGAAAAATTTACTAACATGGTGAAGGTTAACACTTTGTAAACACACTTGAGAAACACTTTCAAACATTATCTCATATAATCCTCATAAAATCCTAGTAAAGGTGGGCTTGCAACCCAGAAATGGCTGTCCCCAGGGTCCATGCCCTTTCCCCCATAGAGGGGATACCACCAGGGCAAGTACGTGTAGCCTTGATATACAAATTCAGGCAAGTTCACTCCAAATCCTACTTACCTGGCTGAAGCCTTAAAACGCTCTAAGAACTGAAGTCTCAAGCTCTCATGGCCAGGGAGATCAATCAAGGTCAGGCTAGTGGCCTAAGGATGGCAGCAATAACATTAAATGACGTTTTGGTCCTGATTCACATTCACAACATAAACTTCTCATACAAGATTTCAGGTACCAGAACAGGGTCCATTTTATTAATGAATCAAAAAAATGTTCACCATAATTAATTAATGAACCAAACAAATGTTCACAAAGCCTCTTCTATTTATAAATCATTAGTAGAGGCTCCAGGGATTTAACAGTGAGCACAAACAGACATAATCCCTGTTCCAACAGGGTTTATAATAAAATCATAAAGATCAACACAATGTAAAATTACAAATAAATGTAAAGTTACAACTTTGATAATGTTCCAAGGGTACGTGAGAAACTGACCCCGTCTGGGGGAGTCAGGAAAAGTGCAGTCCACCTGAGGCTGGGGAAATACATTAGTATGAATAAAAACAAAAACATGTGAAAATAGTAGTAAATATTCACAAACTAAATAATGTACCAGGAGACCTACACTTTATCATATAGCATGTTACCATTACAGGGATCCCCAATCTCTGTAACAACAAAACATCCCTTTACGTGTCCACTGTAATTTTTAAATATCTGCCGACTAGACCCACCGTTTATCTGTTCCAACTGCCAATATTTTATGTCAATCACTGAAACAGGGAGGTATTATGCCCGTACTGAGCTGACTCATTAAACACTCACTTAAGAGCTATTCACCCCAGGCCTTCCTTCTTGAGCTCAGGTTCAATGTGGGTGTGGTTATGCTCAGTAAGACTCTCGGGTATAATCCTGCTACACTCATCAGGTCCAGGAACATTTCTCAGATGTTTTACCTTATCCATAGCCAGCCTTCACCACTGTTCAGCAGGAGGGAGTCAGGATCATGCACAGATCTAACATAATTATAGCCGAATTCATTATGACCTGTTACTTAGTCTGTGCAGTCTTTAATGGGTAAAAATATGATGTATGCTAGCTTAAAAAAAAAAATACTGGTAAGAGTCTAGGGATCTCAGGTTAGGACCCATTACCACATTTCATAATTAGCACTATACCACTCTAAGCAATTCAGAAAGACACATTACTAGATATATTACTAACTTGAGAGAGAGAGAGAGAGAGAGAGACTACATCGAAAACATATGAGGGTGGGGGGTAGGAGGAGTAAAAAAAGAAGGGAGGATTGTTCTACATTTTCTTTTTCTTTTTTTTTTTAGAGAGAGCACGCATGAGCAGGCAGGGGGTGGGGGCTGAGGGACAGGTAGAGATAATCTCAAGCAGGCTCCATGCCTAGCACAGAGCCCTATGCAGGGCTCGATCTCATAACCCTGAGATCATGACCTCAGCTGAAATCAAGAGTCAGCTGCTTAACTGACTGAGCCACCCAGGCACCCCTACATTTTCAATAGAAATATGCAAGTTTCATATGTAACATTAAGTTTTCCAAAAGCCATATTAAAAAAGTAAAAAGATAAAAAGTTAATTTAATAATATATATTATTTAACCCAACATATCTAAAATAATTTTTAACAAGTAAAAAAAAAAATCAAGAAATTGTTGATATTTTACTTTTTTTTTTTTTTTTTTTTAAAATTTTACTTATTTATTTGACAGAGAGAGACACAGCAAGAGAGGGAACACAAGCAGGGGGAGTGGGAGAGGGAGAAGCAGGCTTCCCGCGGAGCAGGGAGCCTGATGTGGGGCTAGATCCCAGGACCCTGGGATCATGACCTGAGCCAAAGGCAGACGCTTAACGATGGAGCCACCCAGGTGCCCCGATGTTTTACTTTTCATTCCAAGTTCAAAATCTGGTGTATACTACACTTAGAGCACCCCTCAATTTGGACTAGTCACATTTCAGGTGCTCAATAGTCACATAGAGCCAAGGCTATTCCATTGGAAAGTACAGGTTTAAAGTATACCCCGGAATATCCCACTTAAAAAATCTGGCACAAGTGCCCCAAGAATTAAAGCTCTCCCAAACCTGAACTTTCAAAATCTAAAATTTTGGGAATTTAAAAAGGAATGGGCTAGAAAGAGTACCATTATTGAAAAAAGCAAAAAATATCCGTAAGACATTTAGAAGAATGTCTCTTTATCTTTGTTTATAATGTTTAATTCTGGAGGCACCAGAAAAAGGGGCTAGGGGCAAACAAAAGGAGAAAAGGTCTCTAGGATAACCATTCTCATTCATCCATCTATACATCTACCCCTCCAACCAGCCCCCCAGCCTTTCTTCCACTCACCAAATACTTATTATTCATTGCAATCAACTTGGCAGTCACTATCCACATTCTGGAGCTACATAGGTACATAAAAAGTCCTTCTCATGATTCCTTACTGTTCCTTACTGGTATTTTTGAAATATACTTATGTATACTCTTTAACATGTCCAAAGTAACACTGTAAAAGCAAAAGATTATACCAACAACCTAAACGTTAATAGAGCTCTTATTAAATAAGAACTTAATTGAATGGTACAGCCACATAATGGAATACTATGTAGCTCACAAATCAACCAGGTAGTACTATGTGTACAAATGAGGGAGAAAAACAAAACAACCCAACTGTATCAGTCACACTGTTAAAAAAACAAAACAAAACATGGTGCACCTGGGTGGCTCAGTGGATTGAGCACCCAACTCTTGGTTTTAGCTCAGGTCCTGATCTCAGGGTCCTAGGATCCAGCCCCAGGTTGGGCTCCATGCTCAGGAGGAAGTCTGCTGAAGATTCTCTCCACCCCCCTCCTGCTGCATGGGTACTCTCTCTATCTCTCAAATAAATAAATATATCTTTAAAACAAACAAACAGGGGCGCCTGGGTGGCTCAGTCGTTAAGCGTCTGCCTTCGGTTCAGGTCATGATCCCAGGGTTCTGGGATCAAGCCCCACATCGGGCTCCCTGCTCCACGGGAAGCCTGCTTCTCCCTCTCCCACTCCCCCTGCTTGTGTTCCCTCTCTCACTGTGTCTCTCTCTGTCAAATAAATAAAATCTTTAAAAAACAAACAAACAAACAGTGGGCAGAACCAAGTGTTAAAAAGAAAATAATTGGGGTGCCTGGCTGGTTCACCTGGCGGAGCATGAGACTCTTGATCTCAGGGTTGTGGGATCAAGCCCCATGTTGGGTGAAGAGATTACTTAAAAATAAAATCTTTAAAAAAAAAATTAACAGATACACAGATATGTTTGCATATGCACAGATCATCTGATGGGTCCACAGGAAAATAAGTTATTGCCTCTAAGGAGAAGACCTAGCAGGGACAGGAAAGGCAAAATTACTTTTCACTGAATATTCTTTTTAACCTTTTGAATTTTTGTCCCATATACATATATTACCTATTCAAAATATAAAGGAAAAGGTTTAATGCTCACCCTCGAAAACTCATGGTAAAGTTGGAGAGAAGACATAGCAACAAAAACTAGTAAAATGTGATGTAACATCAGTGTGCATGAAGTACAATAAAACAGGGGATGGCATGATTAAAACCACTGCTTGGATGGCTGAAAGCAGAATTTGTCACATGGACTCTATTTATCCATAAAAATAAGCTATGAATGGTACCTACACCCTCAGACTAATTCATCCTACAAATGTCCTTTCCTGACACACCAAAGTAAAGTAAAACTGTCAGACTCCCAACATTCTACAAACCCCTTACCCTGGTATTGTTGACTCTGTACACAGCAGAGCTGTCGGTGATAGAAGTCTGAGTGTCTCTGTAAAGGCCAGTTAACAACTGTAAAAAAAAAAAAACAAAAACAACAATTTGAGGAAGATCAGAACAAATATATAAATAGCAAACCTAAAGAGAGTAATTTTGTTCTAACTCTCCAATGGGTCAGGTCAAACAAATGAATGTTGCTTGCAAAACTGAAAAGGACGATATTGTTTTTTCCTTGTAGAAAAATCTAATTCATTGCATCTTCATTCCCCTCTTCACAATGAAAAACAAGAACCAAAAACCTAGTTTCAAATGGTTAGTGGCCAAATTCACCAAACTTCCATAAACATTTTTAATCATCACAAATGATTACAAATTATTTTTCTGTAGTGGAAATACTTTATCCTCTCAAAAGGAATAATAAGAAAACCTCTGCTACTCTCCATAACAAAAAATCGTTTAAAATACTAAACAGATTAAATATTAGTGAAAACATGGCTAAGTAGCCCAATATGTCAAAGACTCAACCTTTTAAAAAACTTCTTTGACAAGTTCTTAGACGAGTTTGTTACACAAGAATTATACACCCTATACAGATCACTGTCTTCTATCTCTTCAGCATCCTTGGCCACTACATGAAAGTAGTTACATAAAACCCTTAAATGGGATAAAGACTAAATGTCAGTATCTGGCACGTGCAAGAAAATAGAAATGGTCAAGAAATTCCAGTTTATGAATTTTTCAAGAGCCTTTTCAAGTTTTTCAAGTCTTTCCAAGTGAATCAAGAATTAATTCCCCAATTGTGAGCATCAGCTTCCTTTCCAAAATGAACTATGACCTCACAGGAATAATGGGATGGCCTAACATTTCCTATCAACTTTAGAAGAGGTGTAAATCAAAACATTTACTCTGACAAAGAGCAATGTTTTCCCAGAGTCACACAGGCCAACAAGAAGTACAGCTCTTTGACTGCTCCTTCTGCTCCGGATGAACTTCCAGAACACTGTGGAATAGAGAAAAACAACCAACATTATGCCTTGATCATCAATAGTACACCTGTATGGTGGCTGGGGTAGGGAAATTAACAGAAGTCTATCACAGAACACCTCATTCAGCTGGAACTTAACTTTTATTGTTTTTACCATTATAATCGTTACTGTTGTTAGTGTTACCGGTGGGAGAGTCTGCGCTGAGTGAATGGAGGTCTGGGTTCTTGGATTCCCCATAAATGTGTGATGTTGTGCCCCCAGGCTTCTAATGTGTAACCTATTTATCAATGTCCTTGCCTCTAGCTCATGTCTAACTGCCTACTCTATCATTAGGGACTCCACTGAGTGCCTGCCACTATCAACTGTCAACCTTTCCGTGTCTGCTCATTGTGGACTTCTCAAGTGCAATCTCGTCTTATTAACTGTGTATCCCCAACGCCCAGGACGCAAACTTGGGAGTAAAGACCGCGTGAGTCTTGGTAGTGAAAGCAAAAAAGGAGGGCGGGTACCGCGCGCTTACAGGGGCCGAGAAAGGAAGAGTAATCCGCGCCCCCAAGGACCAGGACGTCACTCCAAGGGTCGCAGGGGATCCTCTTTAATGCAGCGCTACTCCCGCTGCTTCAGGCAGCAAAGCAGGTTTGTATATGAGGTGAGTCTCCCTCTCTAGATGCCCCCCAGGTGCCTTCGCCGCCCCGCGTCCGCGGTCTGCAGAAGCCCAGTCCAAGTCCAGAACCCCGCCGCCTCTTTACCCAGCGTCAGCAGCACCGCGAGAACCGCCACCACGGCTGACAGCAGTGTTGGGTCCCCCTGCTGCAGCTCCTGCCGCAAGGAGTCTAGGTGGGGCTGGAAGGCTCCGGCGACACTGCCTCCATTCGCCATCCGCCGGGAATCCACGGAAGCCATTGCTGAGATGCGTGGTCTCCAGCGCCGCGAAAGCGACGTGGCCCTGGACTCTGCGCAGGCGTCCGAAGCGGAGCATCACGGGAGTGGTAGTTCCTAAGTTATATTTCCTCCTTCAGGGGCCGGGATGCCGAAGGTCCTGATGGGAGTTGCAGTTGTCTTGCACACTGTTCCCGCCGAATGAGCGGCGTTTCGCGATATTTCACAAGTGACACTCTTATCCCTTAAGGTATGAGTTAAAATAAAAAAATTAAAAAATTAAAAAAAATTAAAAAAAGATATGAGTTAAATATCGCCGCCCTCTTCATGGGTGTTGATGGAATGATGGATGAATAAAATGAATGGCTTAAGAAATCTTAAATGAGGATTTCCAGTCACTCTCTTCGCGAGGTGAGTCTCGTGAGGAACTCAAGCACTGCACAAACATTTCATCTGAGTATAATATGGCATGGGATGTGACCGAGGATTATGGTGCGATATGGGAATACAGACAGGGACTCCTAGTCCTTTATTGGTTCAGAGAAATCTCCTGGAGCAAAGTGACGGGAACTGAGCCATGAGGGATGGGTCAGCCTCTGCACGTGTAAAAGGAGAAAGAGTACTCTGTGTAGAAGAAAACGAGCAATTCAGTGTCCCTATACGGTAAATCTAGGGATGCAACTGAGATTTTGACATTGCGGGAAGCAGCCAGGAAAATCAGTGCGTGGGGGTGAAGCTGTTGAAAACTGCAGCAGTCGTTCCTGCTCAGAGTGGACAGCCTCTACTCTGCCAGGCAGGCATGGGGGAGCAAAGTGGCCCGTTCTTCCAGTTTTTCCAGAGACGCCGGAAAGGGAAATGACCTACTTTTCAGATTTCAGCAAGTAATGAAAAGAATTAAAAACAAAACAAAACTTGTCGCCCAAATAAAACACCTTAGTGGGGCACCTGGGTGGCTCAGTCGTAAAGCGTCTGCCTTCTGCTCAGGTCATGATCCCAGGGTCCTGGGATGGAGTCCCATGTTGGGCTCCCTGCTCAGCGGGGAGTCTGCTTCTCCCTCCCCCACCCCCCTGCCTGTGTTCCCTCTTTCCTTGTGTCTCTCTCTGTCAAATAAATCTTTTTTAAAAATAAAATAAAACACCTTATGGGGCCAGAAGTGGCCCACTTAGGGGCTGCCAGTTTGCAGTCTGTCCCTAAGCTGAAGTCATTTCAGCAGAAGTGGCAGGAGATGAAGCAGGAAAGGTTGGCAGGTAGGACCTGAAGGGATTGTGTGCTATGCTGAGGAACCTAGACTTCATCCAGAATGAGATAAGAAGTTTCAGTTGGGGGTAACATAGATGACTGGCAGATAAATGGAGAACGGTGATTTGAGAGAGGAAAAGACTGAGGCAGAGAGACCAGCTGGGAGCTGTTGCAGTGTTTTGGTAAAAGATGCACAGGGTCTGAACCAGGAGTAGAGGTAGGTGCGGAAAGGAGGCCACAGATTTGAAAGATGTGGAGAAGGAAAATATATAGGATGTGGTGATTAACTGGGTATGCTGAGTTAAGATGGGAGAGTTACCAAAACTGCATCTGAAGCTGTTGGTGTGGGGTACTGAAAAGATCAGAGTGCATAAAGTGAATTAGAGAAGGACTTTGGGGCTGAGGGCATAACCAGAATGAAAATTGCCTTTCTCTTATATATATTGAGTTTCAGGTGCCTCTGGGAGTTCTAAAATCTTATATTAAGCAGGTGATAGAATAAACAGATGTAAAGTTTCAGCAATAGGTGCTGTATTTTCATCTGAGTTTCGGGCATAAATAAATGGTCATTAAAATCAGGGACAGAAAGAAAAGTGAGGAGAAAGGAACCCACCAATATGCCTAGGAAGGAAGAGTCAGTGACACAGGAGTTAGACATGTCCTGGAAGTGGTCAGCAGCATCTCTTGTAACAGAGGGGCTCCTGTGATGAGGGCTTGAATGAAAAGTGAACTCAGAGGGAACAGTGAGGTGAAGGTGGGGGTAGGGGCATGGGTATGGAAGCAAGACAGATGGAGAAGAGGAAGGGTAATGCTGATAATTGCTAGCATTCATGAGTGCTTGCTAGTTCCAGGCACTGTTTTAAATCGTTTTAATTTGTTCATTTGCTTAATCCTCACAGCAACCCATTATTCCAATTTTACAGAGGCAAATGAGACAGGGGTTAAGGAACTTATCCATTAAGCCCAGGCGGTGGGCTTCTTTATGCTTAACTCTATGCTCTAACATAGTACAATTCATTCTCCAGGCATTTCATTGATAAATGTAGGCAAATAGGGACTCCAGATGAAGAAGGGATGTTTAGGATGTGAGGTTAAAGAAAATAAACCAACTATTTTATTTTAAATTAGCATTATCAATTAAAACTATCAGAAATGACAGTAATTTTACCATATTCTCTTTTTCTTTTTCTCTTATTGTCCTGAGCCCTGCTCTGTATCCACCACCCACCATGTGCATCACACACATACACACACACACATAGAGCTCCTTTATAATAACCATTGATTCCTCTGCTAGGAGCTAAAAGTGCAGGGAAGGAGGAAGGGCCAAACGGGAGAACACCTACCATGACTGTCCCAACCGTGTAAGAATTTTTAGTCAGAGCTATGTGAATGAGAAAGTTCTGCCTAGGTGGTGAAGTTTGGGAATGATGAAAGAAAGACAGTTTTAACAAGACAGACTTTTTTTTTTTTTTCAGTATGTTTCCTGGGTAAAGACAGAAGAAATGTGCACAGAAGAAATGTGGGAAGGTAGTGCCACTCTCAAGAATGAGAGCAGGAGAGGATCAGCTGCTTCTTGTCCTCTCACATCTGCACAAACACACACTTCCAGGAGGTGTGTGGAGATGAACCCAGAAGAAGGACAGGCAGATACTGACTACTGCTTGCTGAAAGTGTTGTGCTTCTTCATTCAAATAGCAAATGGAGAGTTACAATGAAATAAATGTAGTGACACGATTTTTCCCCTTTCTTCCATTAATTAAAATGTCTCATTCACCAGACACATTTTCCCCTCTTCTATTCCCAGTAGCTCCAAAGCATGGTGGAAACGATCTCAGACTCAGGGACACCAGTCACATGATTGGTGAGTGGTCAGCTGTATCAAGTGCAGTTAACAGACTCAGGATTGAAAGAATTAAAATTGGTTTTCATAGTTGACAGATGGGCAGTGACCTTGGCCAGGGTAGCTACAGGGAAGTGAGTGGAGCAAAAGACTGGTTTCTGTGTTTTCAACCATTAATAAGTGAGGCGTGGAAAGGGCGAGGAGATAGGGCAGGAATTACTGTGGGAATCAGGGTGAAGCAATAATTTTCAGATGTTCCAGTGGTTCACTTTTCCGACCCACTAGAATCGGGAACTGATTCATGTATACCCTTCTCCATCTGGTATGGCTCCACCTTTTGGATTTTAGGATCTGTGGAAAGTGCAGGCCTCCAGGAGTTCTGTGGGGCAGAGAAGAGAGGTAGGACAGCTGATCTTCTCCTGCTCTATATTCTTTTTCTGTACTCCCTTGAACACTCCATCTCAATATCTCACTCAGCATCCTCCTTCCTGCCCCCCCTGCAACACACACACACACACACACACACACACACACACACACCCCAGCCACATACACTTGATTCTATTATAATAACCATGCAGACCCCTTTCAGAAAGAATTTCTACTTGAACTGTACCCAGGAGGTATGGCTATGGCACCACAACCAAAGCTGTGGAAAGGGTCAGATGAACATTGAGCTCTGAAGGAAGGGCTCAGTGCACATGTATTTAGTCAGATAGTATTAAAAAATATCCTTCCAGGCCAAACATTTAGAAAACAATGACGTTTTTAAAAGATAACACCAATAATAATTTTTATTTTATATTCTACAGAGGTACCACCGCTGAACTGTGAAACCAAACAAACCACTCAGGCTGGTGAGACCCAGAGGGAAGCTTATGGGTCACGAGAGCTCCCTTCTCCATCTGGTATAGCTCCACCTTTTGGATTTTAAGATCTGTGGAAAGTGCAAGCCTCCAGGAGTTCTGTGGGGCAGAGAAGAGAGGTAGGACAGTCAAAAATCTACCTATATTTATTTTCTGTTGAGTGAATGAATAGTTAAGCCTGATATAAAAGCACTCAGACCCATTGGGGTCTGATAGGTAGACCAGGCCATTCTCCCAGTGGTCTTCTTCTCTTGCCTGCACAGCTCCTGTGTCTTTCTGGGCAGTACCATGCACCAAGAATGGTAACATGGTTTCCCTGCCCTGCATCATCCCCCACCTTGTGTCTCATAGGCAGGGCTCCCACACCTAAATCCATGTAGCTGGGAGGAGTCTGGTAGGACTATCCTCTCTGATCTCCTTCGAGAGGTGAGGAACTAATAAAACAAGCACCTAGAACATGCCAGTTTCCATGCTAGGGGCTAGAGAAGGAGCAGAGAATAGCAGAGCCAAACTTTCTCCCCTTATGGAGGATATAGGGTAGGTGAATGTAACCTACATGCTCACAGCAGTGGCTCTGGGTACGCACGTTCCTTATATTGGAATTATGGGGCCCTGGCACAGACTTGCTGAATAAGTAGTCCCCAGGGCCTGGGAATCAGTATTTTAAGGACCATGGCTCACTTATATGCACACAAAAGTTAGAGCACAATCTCCCTCCATTCACATGTTCTTCTCCCACATCTTCCAAATGACTTTAAATGATGTCCAACATAGTTATAGTGCAAAGGTGTGTTTTATTGTATTGTAAAGCTTAGAAAACCGGTGCTCTAGATGAGCAGTAGGTATGGCAACTTTATGGTTATAAAACTTGTCATTGTTCAAGCTCACAAGAGTAGTGCTGTGTGAAAGAACTTTCTGCAATGATGGAAATGTTCTGTTTGCTCACCTATCTGGAGCCGCGTGTAGCTATCGAACACTTGAATTGTGGCTGGTGTGGTTAAGGAACTAAATTTTTAATTTTGATTAATTTTAATTAATTTAAATTTAAATCACCATAGGTAATTAGAGGCTACTGTATTTATTGGACGATGCAGCTCTGTATACAAAGGAGTTTACTGCGGAGCAATGGGCATGGGCACATACAACCTCTTCCTTGTCTTAGTAATAACATGGAATTTCTTCATGTCTGGACAGTTCATTGCCTTAGTGCCCTGAGCCTGTGTCTGCCTTACCATCTCTCTACCCATACAAATAGCCTTTCACGCGTGCTGGGATTATGGTGTTCTCTCATCATCTCATCTTGCCCATTTTCATTGTTCATCCCCGGAGGGCCACAGCCCACTCCTCCTAATCTACCCACCACCCAGAATTGCTCCCCCTCCCTCCCCATGTTTGCTTGGCAGCTTCCCCCGTGCTGTTCCCCCTACTCACTCGAGGTGGAGCATTGTCTCAGGTTAGCAACAGCCCTGACATAGTCTGCTCCTAAGTAAGATTCATATGTTGTGCCGTCTGGAAGTTTGGCCAAACATTTTGTGTCGTCCCTGAACAGAAGGTCCTTGGTTTCTGACTGGAACAAACAAAACTTGCCCGAGCAGTCGTTTCCGTTTCCTCCAAACAAAGGCTGTCAAATGGATGAAAAATGCATGAGGACCTGTGGCAGTGAGCAGCTGAGAATACAAGGATGGGGTTGAGAGGGATAAAAGCTGGGAACCAGCCCCAAGAAGAAAGGGAGCTGCAGAGGATGCCTCAGGATGTTTCCATTTCCTTCACCTGGCATTCACCCATTTTGCCCCAGCTTCATGCTTTCTTGAGGCCCCAGCAGGCCCTCTATAGGGTCCATCCTGGTCTTACCTCCTCTGGGAAGTCCCTCCCACCCACCCAGTCACTCCTTCCCCATTTCATTGGCTATGGCCTTGGGGACTGCTTCCAGGAAATGAGAGCACAGAAATGTGTCCCTTCCAAGTATTACTGTCAAGAAAGATATTAAATGTGAGCCCCCCCGCCATGAGGGGTGGTACAGGTAGTTGTTAAATTTAATGTTTGACTGCATCTTTGATCCTATCTTGGGCAAGAGGCTTAACTCTAGGCCTTGTAGGATTATAAGTGAAATCATGATTATGAAAAGTTTAACATTCCATCTAGCACCTAAGAAATGTTCATTAAATGCTAATTATTATTATCATTTACCTTAAGAGGACTCACAAAGATATGCTATCTTAATTTTTTAAAAAATAAGAAAACTAATGGCAGGCAGGAAGCTGTTGTTGAGGGGAAAGTGGTGTTTGTAGTTAGAGGACTCTTAGAATATTCAGGCAGCCTCTCCACCCCACCCCCCACCTCCCTGGCAAGGCTGGCCCTGGGTTGATTGTTCTCCCTGGAGGACAAGCTCCCTCAGGATAGGGATCCTGTGTTTCTCTGGCTGTTGGGATGGTTCTCAGGCTGACCTGTCCATAGATCAGGTTCTCTAAACAAGAGAAATACATTTCACCTTTCATGACTTATATCATGGAGGACTGGCACACAGGATCACTCTCCTTCATTTTCAAAAAGGATAGAGGTGGAGAAAATGAGGGTACCACAGAGCAAGGTCAGGGGTGAGAAAGAAAGCAGATGTGTGGACCCAAAAGCAGGTGGATCACATGGGAACTAATCTCCAGTGACCCGGAGTTATAAGTAGAGCTGGGCCTAAGAAATCCAGTTCCACAATCCACGGCCTCCCGATCCTAGTTTCCAGAAAGGAAATGCTTGAGTATGGGCTGCACTTAGCATTGAACTCCCCCAAATCATCCATACCCACCCAGGAGGAAAGAATGGGAGGCCCTGGCTGGTCCTTACCTGCAGCTCAAGTAATGTTTCCCTAACACAAGATGCCTTATCTTTCCGTGAGACCACAGCATGATTAGGGGCCTTGGCTAGGAAACAGTTATTAGCTTCTCTCACAGGCTTCCTTTTGCCATCAGGGCACAGCAGCCGAAAGTTTTCTTCCTTTAGATCCTTAGCCCAATCTTCAGTGTTCCTTCCTGGGGACAGAGAAGGTGGGTCAGTCACAGCTTACAGCTTTGGTTAAGGTGCCCTCCTTGAGGGGATGTGACCAACCCACTGACTTGTGAAGGACCTGGGGCCATTGGCCAGAAGAAGTACACACACTGGGGTCACAGTGATGGGGAGAGGAAGAGACACTCACATGTCCATAGGTCAGATTCAACTCACACTCAACCAGGAATTCCTAGCAACCACTCCTTCCAAACTGCCCCACCCAACCAGGAGAAAGTGAGTTATATTCTTGGATGATGTTCAAAAACATCTTCATTTCTACTAAATTCCAAAGCATCTGGACCTATTACTCTAGCACACGAAGAATGGGACCCTCTAAGCAGGCTGATAATCTCTGTGTGATACCATCTGGCATTAGCAAGCAAAAGAACTTAACCAGAGGCCCTTTTGCAAGCTGGACCAGTGTTCTAAATCTGACAGGCTCATACTGGTTCCCATGAAAATGTGCACGTGCCTCTGTGCATACGGATGCACATCCTGTTCTTAGCTCCGAGCTTCATCATTTCCGTATTCTCTCTGAAAAAAAAGAAAATCTCACCCATTTTCAGGGTTTCAACTCCTTCCTCCTGAGGCAATTCTCAAATATGTTTTCCCAATTTTTAGTTCTCATCTAAAAGGCAGGATTGCAAATCTTTTTCTTCATTTAATTTTCATTTTTTTATCTAATTGAACTACTACTATGTGACTTCACTATCATAAAATTGTATATTATATATAAAATAAAAATACCTCTTTGCCTACTCTCCCCAAATATGTAATTACAGTTTTAATAGAAAACTCCAAACTGCCTGTGTCTCTCCCACAATTAACTACACACACCTTTGCTCACCTTCTAGTATTTCTCCTTCCCTTTCTTACCAGTCCCTCCAACTCAGCTCCTTCCAAATGAAACCCACCATCATTCTCTCCAAACCAATTCTGTTCCACTTCATAATGTAAGAATTTACTCAACACTATGTTTCATGCCCTCTATAAGCCACAGTCTTATTGGAGGGGGAAAATAGCATACATACCAAAAATACCAATTCTGGATACAGATAATAATAACATTTTATATTTTGTAGAGCATGCTTTAAATGCTGTCAGCTGAACAAGCTTGGTGAGAACATATTCATTAGGGAGAGCTGGCTGGAGGAGGCATGGTTTTAGGCGTGTAACATTTGTTACATGTACTAACCACTGTACTGACCATCAAGAGACTAATCTAGGCCTGACTGGCAAGGCATATGATAAAGTCCTCAATAAGGACAGAGGCCCTGAGAAGAGGAGTGGATTTTGAGAGAAATATGAGGAGTTTGGACTTACAGAGGTTGAGGTTGCAGTGCCAGTGAACTTTGTATATAAAAATGACCACATGGCAAATAGAGGCTCTGGGATGTTATTTAGATGGGAGGTTAGGTCTCTGCTCTATATTCCTGTCAGGGGGTAAGGCTTTTGGAGTCATTGCAGGGTAGAGAGGTGAAGCCAAGAGAGAGAAGCCCTATTCAGAGGAGTACAAAAAAAAAAAAAAAAAAAAATCAAGGGATAACAAAGAACCAATCTTAGGGTAACACTCAGGTAGTAGGAAAAAGGACAGCCTTTAAAGGAAAAAGCATAAATAATAGGAGAGAAGAAAGAAAAATTAGCCAACACAGTATTCCTTCAAGTAAGTACTTAGCAGCTTCTGTGTGCCACTTACTACAGTTACTGTTGGGATATAAGAGTAGGAAAAAGGAGCTCAAAAGAGTTTCTGTGGCCACAATTTATTATAGAATGAGATGAACTCAATAATACTAGCCACAGGGACAGAAGATTCTATTGTGGGATGGATGCCATCTGAGAAGGCTTCTTGGAGGAGTCGGTGCTGAGCTAGTTCACTCTAGATGAGTTGCTGGGAAGTGCTGAGGTTGGGTGAAAGAACATGAGAAAGGAAGTGAGGTAATATCTGCCTGGCCTGTAGCAGGTTCTCTAAGCAGTTAGTGATACAGAGAGGACAGGTGGAATGCTCATTCTTACCAACTTAAAAAAAAAAATTTGTTTGGTTTTTCAGTGTCACAGCATCTAATATTCACCCACTAGTTTTAGTACCCATTGATGCTTCTTGCTTGAAACAATTATTACTATATTATTTGCCAAATGATATTTTTTTAACTTTATAATTATTTCTACATTTATTCGTGTTCTACAATAAGGAAGATCTTTCCCTTCACCTTCATTTGTTTAATCAGGATAGACTCATGTATTCCTATTTTATTCCTACTTTATTCTTACTAACATTATTATTTCTTTTAGTGCTCAAAATGTCCCAGATTTGGCCAGTAGGAGGGCTTTAAAAAGGCTCCTGTATATTTTGACATATCCCAACATCTCCAGCACGACGTTCCAGGCTCACCTTATATTTTTCCTGCCCAGCCCTAGAATCATCTATTTTTTCTAAGGGGCCCTGGCTCCTTCTATCAGAGTATGGTTCTAGAAACCAAGATCTTGGTGTACTATTCCCACTGGTGTACTATTGTCTCTAAGTGTTTTCAGTGGACCTAGAATATATTTGGAATATATATATTAGGCCCAGAAATATAGGAAATAGTTAAAAAGGACCTTTTGGGGATAATTCACCAAATCTGAATATGGACTGTGAACACAGTGAGTATTAAATCCATGTTAGTATAAATTTCCCGATCTTGGTGATCACACTGTAGGTATGTAAGAGTGTCCTCATTCTTAGGAAATGTGCTCTGAAGTATTTAGGGGAAAGGCAATGTCTGCACCTATGGGAAGGTTCCTGGGAGAGAATTCAGGAGCACCAGAACCTCACAGTCCTCACCGTTCTGCCTACCCAGGTAAACACTTCTCTCCTCACTGAACAAACAGGTTGAGAATCAGAGCTCTGGACCTGAGTCCATAACATGTCCACAAAGGCATCCTAAGCATAAATGAGCCCAGCAACCCCAATTTGTGGGGACAGAGGAGCATGTGAATGTACCTTCAGTGTTCTGCATGACAGTCTGGTCTTTCACAAAGGCCACTTCTCCCTTCTCCACCAGACACCTGCAGAGTGCCAGACAGGGAGAAAGAAGAGAGGAGGTCAGAGACATATGTGTCATTCAGGAGGGTCAGCTTGTAGGCCCAGGGCTAACCATTTGATATCAGCAATTGTGACTCCCATTCTATCACTAATCTTACAGATTACTCATGTAAGTAATATAGACAAGAAAAAACTTCCAATTGCTTTGTGGTTATACAATCTCAGTTCCCACACACTGAGTGCTAAATTCTGGCATTTCTCCAATGGAGCTACAGCATTTCCCTGGCATCAGTAGAGATATTAGAGGAGCAGTTTCCCATTAAGGTGATTCCTTACACTCTACTTTGTAAAAATTGGGAACTTGTGGACTGTGAATTGTATTTGCACAAACAAGGTGGTTCTAATTGGAGAATTAGGATAACCTTTGTTTTCTCCTTCACTACTGAGAAGCTCAGTTACAATACCACCATCAGTGTGCAGTTGATGGACTCATGAACTAACACTAGCCTGAATCAGAAAAGACAGTTAAAAAGTAGTAAGGTCAGGGCGCCTGGGTGGCTCAGTCGGTTAAGCGTCTGCCTTTGGCTCAGGTCATGATCCTAGGGTCCCTGCTCAGTGGGGAGCCTGCTTCTCCCTCTCTCTGCTGCTCCCTCTGTTTGTTCTCTCTCTCTCTGTCAAATAAATAAATAAAATCTTTTTAAAAAGTAATAAGGTCATAAGGTATACAGGTGTCTTTATAAAAGTAATAAACATCCCATGAAATAGAATTTCAGTTGAGAATGTAGAAATCATATTCTTTACTTTTGTATATTTCCAGGTAAGTATGGCTGGCTCTAGGTTCCCCAGAGGCGCATGGAAGAGCATGAACCAGACCCCTGACTCCTGTATTCAACTATGGCAGGGTTTCCTCACCTTGGCAATAGTAACATTTTGAGCCAGGCAATTCTTTATTGTAGGGTGCTGTCCTATGCATGTAAGATGTCTAGCAGCCTCTACCAATTAGATACCAGTAGCACCCAACCCCATTTGATAATCAAAAACAACTCCAGACACTGCCAAACTTCCTCCTGAGGGGGAAATCGCCCCCTTTTGAGAACTTCTAATCTGCACTGTACTGCCAGTCTGGAGAGAGCGTCTTGCAGGGGCTTGGATGCTCCTTCACACAGGGTTCTACAGAGAGTTGCTAACTGTGGCACCCTAACACATGTAAGACTAACAGGCCAGGAACGTAAGAATCTCACCTTAGTTCCCAAAAAGAAATCTTGTCAGGACTGGGTTTATTATATTTGGGTCAGGGTTAAAAGACTCACCTGAAAGCCCCTGTGTAGCCATAGTATCTCTCATGGTTATTGGGAACACACTCCTTTCCTCGAACATTTGCTGAGCCAATACACAGAGCACAGAGACTGGAGTTTCGCAGAGACCCAGGGGCACAGCCTTCGCTGAAAAATTTATCTGTACGGAAGGACCAGAGGAAGTCAGCTCCTCCTAAGTGAGTCAAAATGAGTAGCCTTCATCTAACACATAACGGGTGCGTATGGCCCAGGATAGGTGGAATATATTCAGTGACCTGCCACCAACTCAGGACCTGCCAGGCTGTAGGCTTTAAAAAGAAACTTAATTGAGGCTGGGAAGAGAAGTTAGTAGACCATTACACTTCAGGTAGAAAGGATTCCATGGACACACTATAGTGTCACCATTTATCTAAAGAGAGAGAAGAGAGGGAATTACATAAAAACTGACATAAAAAGGATAAAAGTGGAGGTCTCACTCCTCAAGCTTGTGCTACCTATTTCCAGAAGTTTCCTTCCCTTGCTATTTTTTAGAAGAGACTTTAATAGAACTTAAAACTCCGAACCCACTTAAGGGCTAAGGGATTTTACTCGCAGCTCAGCTGTTCTCCCATGGCTGTGAAATTGCCAGGAGGCTCAGAAACGCAGAGGTAGTGCCCTTGCTGGTGAGGAGCCAGAGCTTTCTGGATATCTCCCCAGCCACATTTTTCTTCCTCTCGTGTCAGAGAACACCCCAGTGCAGAAATGTGGTCTCATCTCCAAGTCCCCACACAGGTCTTGTCTGGTTCATAACTGTCTTTAGAGACTTCTTTTATTTTAATTTTTTTTTTAAAAAGATTTTATTTATTTATTTGACAGAGAGAGACGCAGCGAGAGAGGGAACACAAGCAGGGGGAGTGGGAGAGGGAGAATCAGGCTTCCCGCGGAGCAGGGAGCCCGATGCGGGGCTTGATCCCAGGACCCTGAGACAATGACCTGAGCTGAAGGCAGCCGCCTAACGACTGAGCCACCCAGGCATCCCTAGAGACTTCTCCTTTTAAAGCAGTTGCACATATTTGGAGGTGGCAAGGAGAAAGCTCATGTAAATAACCATTAGAAAACATTTGTCTGGGGCGCTTGGGTGGTTCATTCAGTTGAGCGTCTGTCTTCGGCTCAGGTCATGATCCCGGAGTCCTGGGATCAAGTCCCACATCAGGCTCCCTGCTCAGTGGGGAGTCTGCTTCTCCCTCTACTCCGACCCCCGCTCATATGCTCTCTTTCTCTCTTGCTCGCTCACTCTCTCTCTCTCAAATAAATAAATAAAATCTTTAATAAAAAAAAAAGAAAGGAAACATTTGTCTGTGGTTAACTGACACGTAGAGTTTTCATACCTGAAGATATTCAGAGGACACAGAAGATAAACTGATGCCCATCCCTTTAAAGGGGCCTAGGAGCTGGGCAGTACCTCAGTGAGACTGCCAAGACCTTAAAGAGATCCCAGGATCCCACATGCTCACGTTACCTAGAAAGCCTGTGGGAGGGATTGTCCACCCAACAGCCATTTAGAACCCCTTGTTCCTTAGTAACAAAGTCTTAGTTGTTTTAATCTTTTAATTTTTTCTCCATTACTTTTTATTGAGATACAACTGACATATAACATTATATTAGTTTCAGGTGTTCAACATGATTTGATGTTGCAATATATTGCAAAATGGTCCCCACAATAAGTCTAGTTAACATCCATCACCATACATCATTACAAAATTTTTTCTTTTTTTTTAAGATTTTTTTTAAAATTTATTTGACAGAGAGAGACACAGCGAGAGAGGGAACACAAGCAGGGGAAGTGGGAGAGGGAGAAGCAGGCTCCTTACTGAGCAGGGAGCCCAATGCGGCACTCAATCCCAGGATCCTGGGATCATGACCTGAGCCGAAGGCAGATGCTTAACGACTGAGCCACCCAGGCGCCCCTAAAATTTTTTCTTATGATGAGAACTTTTAAGATCTACTTTCTTGGGGCGCCTGGATGGCTCAGATGGTTAAGTGTCTGCTTTCGGCTCAGGTCATGATCCCAGGGTCCTGGGATCAAGCCCCATATTGGGCTCCTGGCTCAGCGGGGAGCCTGCTTCTGCCTCTCCCCCCTGCTCATGCTCTCTCTCTCTCTCTGTCTGTATCTGTGTCTCAAATGAATAAATAAAATCTTTTTAAAAAAATCTACTTTCTTAGCAACTTTGAAATATGCAATACAGTATTATTAACTATAGTCTCCATGCTGTGCATTACATCCCCAGGACTTATTTAGTTTATAACTGGAAGTTTGTACCTTTTGCCCCTTCACCTATTTTGCCCATTTCCCCACCCCCCAACCTCTGGCAACTGTCATTCTGTTCTCTGTATCTTTGAGCTTGGGTTTTTTTAGATTCTACATGGAAGTGAGATTATACAATATTTGTCTTTCTCTGCCTGATATATTTCACTTAGCATAATAACCTCAAGGTCCATCCATGTTGTCACAAATGGCAAGATTTCTTCCCTTTTTATGGCTGAATAAAAGTCTATTTTGCATTCTTTATGCATTCAATATATATATAGTTATATATATAGTTAATTCTGTATTTTCTTTATGCATTCATCCATCAGTGGACACTCAGGCTGTTTCCATATCTTGGCTATAGTAAATACTGCTGCAATGAACACGGGGATGCATATATCTTTTTCAGTTAGTGCTTTCATTTCCTTTGGCTAAATACCCAGAAGTGAAATTGCTGAATCATATGGTCATTCTATTTTTAATTTTTGAACAAAGATCTAGCTTTATTTGGGACAGAGACATGCCCAAATAAAAGATGACATTCCTGAACCTCTTTGACAACCCAAGTGTGACTATGTGCCTGAGTTTTGAGCAATGAAAAGTTACTTGAAGTAACTGATTTAGATGTCCTGGATAGCTTCTTTAATAAAATCACCGCAGATGACATATACTTGAATAAAATGACCACAGATGACATGACCCAGGCTGCCTGGATCATGGATGTGATGGCAACCATGGTTGACCTTGAAGACAGAAGCCCCATGCTCAGAATAGTGGAGCAGAAAGAGAGAAGGAGCCTGGGCTTCTAATGACCATATCAGCAATAGACTGCTCACCTGGTCCTTTTCATGGGAGATGGAAGTAAACATATATTTACTGAAGCCATTTATGGAGCCAAAAGGAACCATTCTGACTCAGCTTCTCAACCCCAGCATCTCTTTTAGTTATCTCTTTGAGGTTCACTTTAATCAAATTTTAGGACTGTAGAACCAGGGCCATAGCATTTTCTACCATACTACTCTTTTCCCAGAACACCTCTTTCCAGCCTGGTCCTGATCACAGCACCCTCCCAGGATTCACTTACCAAATTCACAGTGGTTGATCCTGCTGTAGAGCAGGCCCATGGGGATGTTCCAGCCTGCGGTTCTATCTACTGCGGTATGGCAGGACTTCCTGCCTTGCAGATTATTCCAGGTGAGGGTTTCATCTGCTGATGCCTTAACTACAGCCACAGCTTTATACCCTACAAGAAAGACACCAAAAAAGAAAGTATTAACACCCCTGGGCCCTCCAGAGTATGTGTCTACAATCAAAGCCTGCCATCTCCCTGTGAAAGCAAAATTACCCTGAATCATTCCTTTTGTCTTTGAAAGGGTCTTCCCAAAAACTGACTGAGTCACTCTGTCAGATGGAGATTATTCTGAACATTTAAAACAAAATAGTAAGAAAACATCATCATCAGAGCAATGTCTGGTGTATAATCCTTCCCTAAATGCATAAAACTACAAAAGTTATAAACCAGCAACTCACCCTCCACTGTGGAATATCAGAGAAATGGATACTGAGGAGCAGGGGGTGATTCCCAAAATTTTATACAGTAACAATTAGGAAAGAGTTGTAAATGACCAATAAATTACAGGGAATCTTCTGGCCATGTATTTTGGGATATGGAGAATACAGGTTTGCACCAAAATAAGTATGTGAAGTAGAAATTCAAAATCCAGACAGCTGCCATCTTTAGCAGAAAAATGCATGCTGCTTCTTAAAACTGCAAATAGAAGATCAACCCATGATTTCAACTTTTTAAATTAGTTAATTCAGTCAACTATTTACAGCAGAAAACAGAGAAGCCTTATCATCCATGGAGCAAGAACAAGTCTTTCTATTTTCAGCTAAAGAGCCTGGGTCCTAGAATGAGGAGGAGAGGCTGAGAGGTTGTAATAGGGGAAGTCACAAGGACAGACTTCCACACTAATGGCTGGAAAATGACCAGACAGGTCTTAGCACTGGGGCTCTGAAACCCCGTGATCACCTTGGCAAGATTTCCTATCTCGTTCCTGTCCCATCTTTTCAGATCCACCCGCCCACCAGAGCACTAGCTGAGAGCCAGATTGGCCTGGGTTCCTGGGCCCAGCCTGGGCTGGGAGGCTGGGTAATTTCATGCTCCTAGACATCTGCCTGTGTGAGCCTCTTTGCTCAGCCCTGCCAGGCACATATAAGCAAGACTCGTTGGCTGGTGTAACTCTCATCTAAAACTGTGCAGGCCTTATGTAATGTGAAGCAGTTGGGAGTGATGAGGAGGGTGTGAACTTGCTTGCTGGGTATAGGAAGCCTGACAACTTGTAACCTCTGTGAGCTGTTGGTCCTCTTAGGCATCCTTAAAGGATGACGGTACCCACTTACAGGATTAAATGAGAAACCCTATGTGCAAGTCATGGCGAGTATAAAAGATTAACCATATTATCAATTATCATCCTTCTATGGTTCTTTTGCATTCTGAAAATTGGTCTCTTCCATTGCCTTACCTACTTTTGATTTGAATTTAAACATACCTTACCCTTTCCCAAAAGCAATAAGAATTAAACTCATGAGGTTACCAATCGCAACTCACCTTCCTCTGCTGTGCTGCTACATTCAGAGCCCTCAGTGTCTGGAGGAGAAAATGAAGAAGTCATTAAACATGTATTCATTGGAAGTCATGCCATTCCCATGTGCAGGTCAGAATAAAAAGAACCAGGAAGACAATCTACATTTCACCAATTCCCAAACAGTCCGGGCTGTCTGGATTATACAAATTCACTTTTGCTCACTGGCCTCTGGAATTTAGCCCAAAAGTGTGAATTTCAAGTTTCCTGCTCTGTTTGACCTGTGGCCACAGTGGTCCCTGCCAACTATACTTGAATCCCTGTACCAGGGCACCAGAAGTGTGAGTTTGGGAAGCAAGAAGACCTGCCAGGAATCCCAGCTGAGAATCCCAGCTGTCCTCTGCAGAGAGGTCACTTTTAGCTGGAACTTCCCAGTGCAAAGCCTCCAATCAGCCTGTTGGAAGGTATAGTAGAAGATTCTATCCTTCAAGGTGACTGTGGGGATTAGAGATGAGGGAGCCCAGAACCTAGGAAGTAGGAGGTGCTCAGTAAACAAGAGCTTTCTGGCCAATGTGGTGTAAATCAGGCTATGATTTTCCCATCTCCTCTCTCCCTGGCCCAGAGGAAATAAAGCACAGAGAGGCACCCCCTCCACTTACTGTAGTTCTCTGCCAGGACAGGCACCAGACCGCACTGGCCCGCTATGTAGATGAAACCTCCATCTAAGCTCATGGCATCAGCCTCTCCTTTCTGCAAAGACACAGCACATTACAGCAGGTGAAAAGAGGCCATCTCCTGTCCTACCTGCTCTTCCAGCCATTTCCTTGAGGCAGCCTTCCCAGCACGGGCCACAGAGGCCCCAGGAGATGGCAGGTGCTGTACCAGATCCCCAAGGATCTATCAGTCAGGAACACCCAGCAGAGAAAATAAAATGTACTCTCATTTTCACCCAAACCATGATGAATTAAGGATTAATTTGGGGTTCCTTGCTTAGTTTCTTTAGGAGCATAGACCCACAGTTAATCCTCCTGTCCTCTCATAGGATACACTGTCCCAGAGACATTTCCACAACAACTTTCTGACACCAGGAGTGCTTATTCGTAAGACAGATGAGTGGAGTCAGGGACACGAGGCTATGTCTGTGGCATAGAGCGCCTCCTGATGGGGCTCTAGCCCTGAATCATGGCCATGTGGCTGAGTGCTATTTCAGTGCTTGGTGTAGACAAAGTGTTAATGAATGAGTAAAATATTCTTGAATGACCTATTTCTCAGGTTTAGAAGCCCTGAATTATAGAGATGCTTAAATTCCACAAGATTGCCAAGCTTTCCATTGGGCCTAGAAATCTACTTTCTAGGAATACACCCTAAAGGAGTAATCAAATATGTGGGAAGCTATTTGGATAAAAAGTACAAGTGCAAGTGTGATTCATCCAATGTAAAACATGCAAGTATAATTCATAACAGCAAAAAAGACAGAAACAGACTAAATGATGTTATAGATAATATGGACAAATGGCTAAATAGATTGCATCACATCCACACTACAAAATAGATTACAACATTAAAAGATCATGTTTTCCAAGTGCCTGGGTAGCTCAGTTGGTTAAGTGTCTGCCTTCTGTTCAGGTCATGATCCCAGGGTCCTGGGATCAAGTCCTGCATCAGGCTCCCTGTTGAGCCGGGAGTCTGCTTCTCCCTCCCCATCTCCCTCTGCCCCTCCCCCCACTTGTGCTCGCTCTCTCACTCACTCTCTCTCAAATAAATTTAAAAAAAATAAAAAAATAAAAGATCATGTTTTCAAAAAATGATTTGGGACATAGGAAAAGCTAACTAGATATGTGAAAAAAGTATAGTAAATTGTGTATATGATATGATCCCATTTAACAGGATTTTCTCTGAGTAAAAGATTACAAGTACTTCTCATTTTCTTTTTTATATCATTCAGGATTTTCAAAACTCTAAAAGCAAACATGGAATGCTCTTGTGATCAACAAAGCTAAACTTCTACCTGCTTACACAATCAGCACAGCCCTGTCACACCTATCATGGCACACCATGGGTCCCAGGCATACCCACACCATGGTCCAGCCTCCTGTAAGCAGACACAGCTCAGAGTGCCCTCCACCATGTGCTAATATTGCGAGGAAACAGAGCCCCAAGGAGCCCTTCAGATCCATAAGTTCAAAAGTACTGAAGCTCCTGTGGGGCTGGGCTCCCACATGAGGGCAAGGTTCCTTGGGAACAGGTTTTTATATCATCCCTAAGAACATTCACTCAGCCATAGGGACAGGCAGGCAGCAGTGGCAGAAATGCTGCCCTACGGGGGCAGGAGTGACATACCGCAATCTTGGCGATACAGTCTTCAGTGGACTCTGCTGTTTCACACTCTATTTTCCCTTCACTGTTTACACTCCACTCATCACACTTGGCCCTCTCGTGGTGACCTATCGCACACCATTTCACCTTCTTGCATTCATCCCTTGGGGTATCCGGGCCTAGGGCATAAGAAAGATAGCCAGATTTCAGTGGAGGCCCCAGAAGTTCCTGCTGGTTATGAATGCTACTAACTGTCTTTATGAAAATGCTGGGATTTGCCAGTAATATACAAACAGGTCCCCTTCCAGGAATTCATTGTCTTAGAAAACAAAGGCAGTAACAATCTCTTTGTTGGCTTCTTAGCATTTAGGTATGGCTTAAAATAATCTCTTCCAAGAAGCCAGCTTTCCTCCCAAACCCTCAATCACTTCAGGCTGTTTTTGGTTCTGTTTTGGTTTTTTTTTCCTTCTTCTTTTTGAAATAGCACTTAACCACCTGAATTGTTCTTATTTATTTGTGCATTGTTTTTTGTCTGTTCCCTGCAGGAGAACATAAGCTCAGCCCAGGCAAGGGCTGTGCCTATCTTACTCTCCACAGCACCCTCATTGTTCAAAGGCAGTGCCTGGCTTATGGTCAGTGCAGTTAATGTCTGCTGAGTAAATGGACATCTATTTGACTGTCGGGCTCAGTTCAAGTCACTTCCTCAAGGAAGCCTTACTGCAGTTCCAGGAGCTATTTTTCTTTGTTTTCATGGTCTCATCAGACCATGATATTTTGTTCTGTTGAGTTTGTTTTCCCTTATTCTGAGCAAATCTCTCATTTTTAATCAATCATTCAGTGGAGTGACTATTCATTGGACATTTGTCTTCTCCACTGGTGAGAAAGTTCCATGACAGCAGAATCTAATATACATTTGTCTCACCATTGCATGCCCAGCACCTAGCACAGTTGTCTGCTGAATGAATGAATAATCAAGCAAACATTCAATGACCCAAGGAAATTCAGGAGCAGGATCAACCTGTCCAGGGCTCCAGCTTCACTATGGCACATGCTGATCATAATACTGGCTGCAGATGTACAAGTCTGTAGCAGTTTTATTCTATTTCACTTACTTTGTGACAGGCTATTTGGCTTCACAAAGTGGGTAGGGTGGCCCTGATTTACACAAGGGAAATAATGCTAGTATCAATCCAAGTCATTTTAAGCATGAATTTCCCTTCATGCCTTTTGGTGATGTCCAGGCCCATCTCATGATGACTGACACCATTTAGCACCTGTCTAACACTGGGCGGGAAGGCAGGGTGAATAAAGAAATGTCAGGGTGGGCTTTTAGTACCTGGAAAGAGTCTATTGCTGGTCCTTGCCCCAAACAGGTTTCCAGGCTCCAAAACATTACATGATCCTTCCCCAGTACTTACGCACATCTTCCCTTAGATTCCGAAGAGCAGTGACATAATCATATCCCAGGTACAGCCACGTGTCCATTTTAGGGGGAATCCTCAAAAACCCTTTGGCAGAGTCCTTAAACAGCAGGTCCTTCCCCAAAGGAGAGCTGAAGAGCTGGAAGACTTTAGATTTGTCTTTGCCATAATGTTCCTGTGTGTAGTAAAACACAATAGTAATTGGCTACAGCAGCAAGGAAGGCCGCAAAAGGGGACTGAGGAAAAACAAAACCCCCAGAAAATGAAATTAAAACCATGAAATTTTCAAGATTCCAGGAGAGAGGGCAGTCAAACCTGCTCTTTCCCACCCGGCACTATCCCTACTCCCAGCCTTCTTGCAGTCATGCAACAACCTATTTCACAGGATATGTTTCCGTGCCTGTCCCCCTGGTTGCATTGACAACTCACTGAGCCTAAGGAATGCAGTCTCCTTCAGAAGCTGACACTGTGTGGTTACCATTAAAACCCTTGATAGACAGATGGGAGGGCTAGACGAGAGGAGGTTGGCTCAGTGCTGGCATTCTGCATGCTCTAGGCTCTAAGTAAACCTGGCCATGTGTGTGGCTTCCTTGCAGTCAGCCTGAGGGACATTAGGGAAGAGATCATTTCCTTCTGCAGAGGTGATGGAAGGCCTTATGGGGGAGGGAGTATTTGCCCTTGGCCTAGAAGTCCTGGTTTAGATGGAAAGAAATAGAATTAAGCAGTAAGGAGCATCTTCATGTCACTAGGCCAAAATGTAAGGGTCTGACAGGCAATAATGCAGGACTGGGTTCTGTGCGACTCTGAGTCCCTGCTGGGCACTTTTAGACAAGTGGATGAATGTGGCGCAGTTCCCACTATGTCCTAAAAACAAGGTATTCCATAGTGGCAAGAAGGGAATGTAGGAAAATGCCTTAAATCCAAGCAGAGAGCACTAAGCAGGAGGGAGAACAGTGAATTCAGTACCTGGGCCTGGTTGAGAAGCTCCCAGATCAAGTCTTCCTTGCCCCCCACACTTCGGGCCACAACAGCATGGGAAGGGACATGGGCCAGGTTGCAGTCCTTATATTTATCTACAGACATGCTCTCCATGTCTGGGCAGAGCAGCTTGTATTGGTCCAAGTCAGCTTTGTTTGGCAGGTTCTCTGGGGGAAGAAAACCTGGATGAGCCAACTGCAGACAGGACAGCGTCATGAACTATAGTCCGTCTCCCCATCCCTTGCAATCCCAATGAATCATAGCATGGGCGAGCTGAGATACCTAGAGCAAACACTGAGGGCCAGAGCACATAAGGGAACTGACTTGCTCAAGATCCCACAACAAGTTACAGGCAAGAAAGCTTCTGATGCCTAGTACAGGGGTGACTGCCCCATACCCCACAATAGGTCTCATCTCAGCAGACCAACTTCAGGCCAAGTTCAGCCAGACATGCCCCCAATCCCTTGCTGTGGCAACATTGACCAGGAAGAAGGATCCCCATGTCCAGGCGGTTGAATGATGGAAAGAGGCCCAGGAGTCCAGGTGAGGACCCCATAGGCACACAACTCTGCACAAGTAGAAACCCAAGCAATGATAAAGGAGGAATACAGTATGCTCATATCTGACTACTGTCCATGAAAAGGGGTACAGGGGAGAAAAAAAAAAGAAAACCCACTGCCTGGAGGGAATGTGTAGATTCTCCTGTCACTTACCGAACACTGTTGTATGCTTGACAAAGGCCACTTCCCCAGCATCATCCATCAGACACCTGTGGGAAAGAAATACATTAGGAGGATCCCAGCAGGGAAGACCCTTCACCTCAGGCTTGAGGGTCTGTCTGATCACACCACCCAGCCCTGGGACAAGGGCAGAGACTGGTGGAGGCCTCTATGCCGACCCACAGCTGAGGAAGCACTATGGGGCACTGATATACCACTAAGACGGTGGGGGGTGGGGGCTGAGCTCATGGGAACTAGAAATCCCTTATCATGTGCCCCAAAGTAGCAAAAAAAATCACTGAAGATATTTTAATACAGAAAAGAGTTTTCAAGTTTCTGAAATGGAAGATAAAGACATAGAGTCTCTTTACAGAGGGAATGTCCCTTGGCTGGCTATCAAACTTTAGGATATAACCAAGGTAAAAGAGGGAGTGAAAAATCAGCCACATGAGCTGTCTGCACAGGGACAATGAGGGAAGGCAGGAGAGAGGCCAGTGCATTGAACTGGAGACATTGCTACAATAGAAAGCAGAGGGTCAGTCACTGAAGAATGGTCCAGACACTAAGGATGTGCCTGTTCCCTTAGGCTCTGCCCAGTCCAGCGAAAGAACACACTGGGCAAGTTCAAGGGCTCTGGAGAGATAGAAAAGATCTCCAGGAGAGGGGCTCTCTTGTCAAATGTCACAACACTGGCTTGGCCTACAGAGCCCCAGCTGGATCACTGAGTCACTGTGAGGGGATTAGGCCTCCTGGACATCTCTGTAGGCTGGGTTCTGCTATGGGCCAGGTAGGGTCTCCCGGCCTGAGGACATTGGACACTTTGGCCACCATGGAACAGCAGCTGGTCTCACTCACTTGAAGGCACCTGAGTAGCCGAAGTATGGTTCATGGTTAGAGCAGGCACACTTGTCCGTCCCTTTCCCCACACATAGTTGACACAGATTGGGGAAGGTTGTCCGATCTGCACAGGGAACACAGCTGCCCGCGAAGAAATTGGACGCTGCTGCTCAACATAAGACATGTAGCACAGGTCATGAGCCACCCTGGCTACAAGCAATTCCAGCTCCCAGCTCCCAGTCTAGACTCTTTAGGGAACAGAGAGTGACTAAAGCAAAACCAGCACACCCAGTCTCAGCACATCCTTATGTGTGTTCACTGATCAAGATCAAGGTTTTCCAAAAAGGGACAAGTTAACCTTTGTCCTTCCATCCCCCTCCCCAAGAACCAGGCCTGTGCCTGCCATTGACCTAGGCCTGTCTCAGGTTGCTGTCAGACTGGAACAGCTCAGAGAGAGGTCTCCTCTGGGAGTCATATCTGAGAGATGGGAGACCCACATAGAGAGGTACAGGCCAAGTTCATGGGCAGCAGATAGCCACCAGAAAAGCTCCAGCAGAATGGGAAGCACATCAGCCACAGACCGGAAAGAACCCCAGGAAAGTGATCAGTAGGGCCCAGCAAACTTGGCCCTGACTGAAGCCTTCTGTTGGGCTTGATGGCCTACCCCCGGCCCCCAACTCCTCGGGATAGCCTTTGGGTGGGTGTTAGGAGCTCAGAGAAGAAAAAACTCAGCTGACACCTCCCAAGGGCTGCTGGTGTGGCAGAACTGACCAGTTTAAAGCTGGTGTACCCCCTACCTCCACCCCCCAGACTCATCACACATGATCACCTGATCATGTCTGAGTGACCCCAGTGTGGCCTGTGTAGGCCTGCCTGATAGCACTCACCCTCTTGCCTACTTACCCCTCTGAAGAGATTCACGTGGCTCAGGCAGCTTCCAATAAAGTAAGCCCATGGGGATGTTCCACCCAGCAGACCTGCCAAGGCCCGTGTGGCACGACTTCTTGCCTTTGAGCTCATTCAGTTTGAAGTCACTGCTCTTCTTCACCACAGCCACAGCATAATACTGGGTTTTTTTATCTGCCAAGAGACAATGTGAATGAAAGACCCTCAACCTGGGCCACAGGGCAACACTGCTCATCACTACTGGACTCCTGAGTAGAGAAAGGGAATCCACAAGGCACATATATGTTGGGTCAGGTCACAAAGAGAGAGAGATCAGGAAAACCTGCCTAGACTAGCAGGGGGAAGAAAGGACTGCAGAGAGAACATTTGTAATAATAGTCCAAGCAAACACAGGCCTACCATGGCCCTGCAGGGTGTCTGCCTACACCTACCAACTCAAGCCCACCAAGAAATTGGAGTTGTAACACAGAGACCACATTCATTATAAGTATTTCCTGTTCACTGACACAGGCCCAGGGACAGTTGGTTGCTCTCAGAGGAAATGCAAGGCTGCTGGGGCTCCAAGTATGTACTCTAGTGTGGTCTCTCCCCTGTGTGTGGCACCTATGGTTCTTGGAGGGCTCCTCTATGTAGCTCTAAACCCTAGTGGTTCAGGTCAGGTTGCATACAGTCTTCTCTGTTTCTCCAGGGAGCACATTTCCTAGCCCAGAAGGTCAGTGTCAGGAGCCCAGTCCTCAACCATCCCAAAGCCCCAGAGGCCTTGACTTGTGCCTATGGCAGCTGATAGGTCCTCTCATTCCCCACTGACACCCAATAGGGAATGCCCATCAGTATTTAATCTCCATTACCTGCCTGGACAAGACAAACTCAGCATTTACCAGGAGAGAACAAGAGCCACAAACTCTTTCCTGGGTCCCCAGGAAGAACTTACCATCTTCTGTCCCATAGAACTCTGCCACTACAGGCTTTAGGTTGTAGGGAGTCAGGCCAGCCTCAAACACCAAGCCTGCATCCAGTGTCACAGCATCTGCTTCATTTGACTGAAAGGAAACACACCAGACCCTGATGAAGTCCTTACTTCTGAGGAAGGTCCACCTATACCCAGGCAAGTGAAGGTGACTGGCAGATCTTCTTGGACCTGGGGCGAAAAGAACCCTCACCTTGGCCAAACTACATACCACACCAAGAGCTTCAGTTGACTCCACCTCCCTGGTGAGGGGATTTGGCCACCATATTCCTATTCCTCCCACATAGAGAAAGGAATGAATTATGTTTCTCTTTCCCCTGGTGAAGAGTCTGGTTCTTGGCTCAGAAACCTATGTGTGATCTTTCAAGATCAACATGAATTAGAGAAGCTTTACGTGGCAGACCTCATGGGGGAAAGTTGCCCTCCCAACCCTGGACTGGGTACACTACCCAAGCACAACAGACACTGAAGGAAGTTGCAACCATGCTCTTACACATATTTATATTGAGAACCCAGTTGCTTTCATTTGGTAACCTCTTCATCTTGGGCCTTCTGCTGAGGTCTTCTTCAGGCACTTTGTGAAGCACTCCTTATGGGGGATGGGAGTCTTAAAGACACTTGTCTCCACTCTGATTCAGTACTTGGTACTTTTCCTTCCTGTCCTGGGACCCCATAACTACAAGAGTCTTGTTCAAGGATTTTGTACTTTCTTTGGGCTTTACCTCTCGCTTATACTATGAACTAAGGGTTAGATGCTGATTATTATTTCCATTATGGCTCACTGTTTGTTTAATGGACTACTCAGATATGTCACAGGTCACCACTGTTCAGCTCAGCTCCATTTTACAGATGAAAAAACACAGGCATGGAAAGTTTGTCACTTCTCCAGGCTACACAGCTAATAAGTCATGGAGCTGGGATTTAAAATCAGGTCGTCTGGGTTCATTTCTTCCATTACGGTTACTTGCTGGTTATTTAGTTAGTTAATCTTGGGGCAACTTTTAAGGGTTGGGATTGTTTTTGTTGTTTTATTGTAATATACATAAGATAAAATTTACTGGTTAAAAATTTTTTAAGTGTACATTTCAGTGCCATTAGATACATTCACATTGGTGAAGGACAGCTCTATTCCACAACTAAACACCAAGAAACAATCTTTGTGGCCTCCTTGGTATCAAAAAAGGTAAGTATAACCTCTGGCCTCTCCCCACCCACCCCACACACCACAGAACAAAAATAAATAAGCAAACAAACAAATTTTCCCAGAGCAATGAGATTGGGGCTTTGTGGCCAAGACACCAAGATGCTGATCAGGAATCACTGGAGCCTCAGAGGAAAAGGAACCAAGGAGCCAAGGCCTAACTCATGGGATCCACTAGAGCAGCAGGGATTCCAAGGGGAACTTGAACCAGCGAGGAGGAGGAGGATTAAAATCAAGTATGACCTCCCAGATGCAGATAAACACACTCAGAAGAATATAAGCCACAATGCACAAGCATCAACAGGAACAACAGACTTGGGCCCTCAAAGGAGGTTGAAGCTGTCTGATGCAAAGTTGAGAAGAGCTGCCTATGAGGTATTTACTTTTCTATACAAATTGAAGGCTGCAATCAGAGATAAAGCATAGAAAAGGAAATTATCAGAAATAAGAAGAAAAATTATTTGAACTGGTGCTTCTAGAAACAAAAAATATAACTATTGAAATAAAAAAGTGATGAATGGGCAATAAGTTGATTAGACATGTTTAAAGTAAGAATTAGTGAACTGGAAGCTATATCTGAAAAATGTGTCCTGGATGCCGCCAAAAAGAGGTATAGATGGTGGAAATTGTGAAAGAAGGATTAAAAAGTTAAAGAAGACCTAATATGTGTTATCTTGGAATCCTAGAATTTAAAAAAAAAATGGAGCGACTGAAAAAAAGCCAGTATTTAAAGAGATAATGGCTGCAAAATTTTTAGAATTGATGAAAAACACAATTCCACAGACCTGATATACCCTAAGCAGGATAGGTACCAAGATTTTCACAACAGCAAATATCAGTGAATCTATAGAATGTCACAGACCAAGGAAATGAAACCACTAAATTATTCAGAGGCGATTGAAGGAATAACAGGATAATACCAGACTTCTCCACAACTACAATGGAAGTCAGGAGACAGTGGAATAATATTTTAAAACAGGGTAAAAATGTCAAACTAGAATTATACATTCAGCAAAATTATCATTCCAGAGATTAAAGCATTTGCAGAGAAAACAAGCAAGCACCTGAGAGAGTTTAACACCAAGAGATTGGCTTGAAAGGATCACCAAAAGAACATATTTCAAGAAGGACACATATCCCAGAAGGATAGTCTGAAAAATGAGAAGGAATGGGAAACAGACTAAATGACAAAAATGTAGATAAATCTAAATATTCTCTTTCTCTCTAAATTTTTGGGTGTGTGTACACACACACATAGACATACACAAACATACACACATATGTTTATATATAGTGTCTACAAATACATGAAGTATTTACATTGAGTGTTTTAAAAAGATAGCCATAAGGGACACCTGGGTGGCTCAGTTGGTTAAGTGGCTGCCTTCGGCCCAGGTCATGATCCCAGGGTCCTGGGATCAAGTCCCATGTTGAGCTGCTTGCTCAGCGGGGAGCCTGCTTCCCTCTCTCTCTCCCTCTGCTTGTGCTCTCTCTGTCAAATAAATAAAATCTTAAAAAAAGAGATAGACATAAATTATTAAATGGTAATATTTAAACAGGAAAGAGGGAAGTCTGAGCTACTGTTTCCCAGAGTCCTTTTATTGTTTGGGAAGGAGGACCAGGATTATTTTACTATAATACATTAGTAAGCTAAAAGTATGTAGTAAAAATTTAAGGAACTCATTAAGGAATATAAATAAAGTGTTTAAATTCATTACCAGTAGGAGGGAAAGTGGAATAAAGGGAAAACAATGCAAATGAACAAACACATGTGCAAACTCAATTTTTAAAAATCAGAAAAGGAAAAATCAGAAAACGGGAAGCCTGGACTAAAAGAAATCAAAAAGTAATATGGCAGAAATAAGTCCAAATTTACCAGTAATAATAATAAAATAAATGAGATTTCACATAAAATAAATATGATTGTCAGATTGCATTAATAAAATCCAGCAACAAACAGTTTTCAAAAGATGCACCTAAAGCAGAAGCACACAGAATATTGAAAATAAAGGAATGGAAAAAGGCACAGGAGAAGACTACTAAGCAAAGAAAGTTGGTGTAGTATGTTAATATCAGAAAAATAGAGTTTAGTCAAAAAGCACTGCCAGATAATTTCATAATGATAAAATACCAAATTCACCCAGAATGATATGGATTATTCTCTCATATGCTGGTGGTAGGAGTAGAAATTGAAATAATCACATTGACAACACTCCCCCGCCCCCAAAAAAGAGGAGAGAGCCCAGATGTCTCTCGACATGAGTGGATAAAGAAGATGTGGGGTGTGTGAATATATAATGGAATATTACTCAGCCATCAAAAAGAATGAAATCTTGCCATTTGCCATGACATGGATGGAACTAGTGGGCATTATGCTAAGCATAATAAGTCAGTCAGAGAAAGACAAATACCATATGATATCACTCATATGTGGAATTTAAGAAACAAAACAGATGAATATAGGGGAAGGGAAGGAAAAATAAAATAAGAGGAAACAGAGAGGGCAACAAACCATAAGAGACTCTTAACTATAGGAAACAAACAGATTTGCTGGAGGGGAGGTGGGTGGAGGGATGGGGTAACTGGGTGATGGGTATTAAGGAAGGCTCTTGATGTAATGAGCACTGGGTGTTATATGCAACTGATGAGTCACTAAATTCTATCCCTGAAACTAATAATATAGTATAAGCTAATTAAATTGAATTTAAATTAAAAAAAATTTTTAAGGAAATAAAGGTAACTAACTACATGGGTAAATTAAAAAAAAAAAAGAACCACATTGAATTGACTTAAAAATCAAACACTGCTGGTGGGAATGCAAACTGGTACAGCCACTCTGGAAAACAGTATGGAGGTTCCTCAAAAAGTTAAAAATAGAGCTACCCTATGACCCAGCAATTGCACTGCTAGGTATTTACCCAAAGGATACAAACATAGTGATCCACAGGGGTACCTGCACCCCAATGTTTATAGCAGCAATGTCCACAATAGCCAAACTGTGGAAAGAGCCAAGATGTCCATCGACAGATGAATGGATAAAAAAGATGTGGTATATATACACAATGGAATATTATGCAGCCATCAAAAGGAATGAGATCTTGCCATTTGCAACGACGTGGATGGAACTGGAGGGTGTTATGCTGAGTGAACTAAGTCAATCAGAGAAAGACATGTATCATATGACCTCACTGATATGAGAATTCTTAATCTGAGGAAACAAACTTAGGGTTGCTGGAGTGGTGGGGGGTGGGAGGGATGGGGTGGCTGGGTGATAGACATTGGGGAGTGTATGTGCTATGGTGAGCGCTGTGAATTGTGCAAGACTGTTGAATCACAGATCTGTACTTCTGAAACAAATAATGCAATATATGTTACAAAAAAAAAAAGAAGAAGATAGCAGGAGGGGAAGAATGAAGGGGGGAAATCGGGAGGGGGAGACGAACCATGAGAGACGATGGACTCTGAAAAACAAACTGAGGGTTCTAGAGGGGAGGAGGGTGGGGGGATGGGTTAGCCTGGTGATGGGTATTAAAGAGGGCACATTCTGCGTGGAGCACTGGGTGTTATGCACAAACAATGAATCATGGAACACTACATCAAAAACTAATGATGTAATGTATGGTGATTAACATAACAATAAAAATTTTTAAAAAAAGAAGATGTGGTGCATATATATACAATGGAATATTATTCAGCCATAAAAAAAGAAATCTTGCCATTTGCAAAGACATGAATGGAATTAGAGGGTATTATGCTAAACAAAATAAGATCAGAGAAAGACAATTATCATATGATTTCACCCATATGTGGAAGTTAAGAAACAATACAGGATCACAGAGAAAGGGAAGGAAGAATAAAATCAGATGGAATCAGAGAGGGAGAAAAACCATAAGAGACTCCTAACTATAGGAAACAAACAGGGTGCTGGAGGGGAGGGTAGTGGAGGATGGGGTAACTGGGTGATGGGCATTAAGGAGGGCACTTGATGTAATGAGCAGTGGGTGTTATTTGCAACTGATGAATCACTAAACTCTACCTCTGAAACTAATAATACACTCTGTTAATTCATTAATTTTTTAAAAAATCAAACATATTTGGCATTGTCTTAAAAGGCACATACATATCCCTTGGCACAGCAAGTCTGCTCCTACACATATATATTCAAGAAAAACTATTAATATTTGTGTCCTAGGAGATTTGTATAAAAATATTTGTCAAGCCCTGATTAGAATAACAAAAAGCTGGAAATAGCCCAAATGCCTAATGACCAGAAAAGAAAAAATAAATTGTGTTATACTAACATAATGGACTATTGTAGAGCTCTGAAAATGAATGAACAATGGCTATATTCAACGATGTGGGTGAATCTTAGCATAATATTGAGGAGTGAAAAACAAGGAGAAGACAACACATAGTAATGCCATGTTTATGAAACTTTTTACGAATCAAAACCGTGCAGTCATTCACGCATACCTATATACATCTTAAAACTAAAATAAAAGGCAAGAAAGTTGTAGGATTCAGTTTGCTCAGGATGGAGAAACACATCAGTGGTTGTGGGTTACACCACACTATGTGGGTGCCATTCTCATAAAACAGCCCTAGAAGTAAGCTATTGGTACTGATGAAGTTTTGAGAACCTGTGTTAGGTTCATGGATAGTATTATTTTATACTATCAACATTTAAAAATAAAAAGGGGCATACATGAACTAAAACTGAATAAATGTCATAATTCAAGGGTTATAATTTAAAGCATGATCATAACTGAGATCCAATTTAAAAACACAAGCCAGTGGTTTTTACCAAATGACTGATTCCTTCAATCATGCTCCATCTGGCTAAGTCTATCTCTCCCACCTCATTACTCTTTCCAGTCTCCTGCTTGCTCTACTCCTGTCACCCTGACTTCCCCACAGCAACTTCAGAAAGCCCAGCTCTGCTGTCTCAGGCCCTTTGCACAAACTGTTCTTCACTGCCTGGTGTATTCCAACAATGGCACCTGGCAGGCTTATCCATGCTCAACCTTGGGGTCTTAGTTTCATTGCTTCCCTGTCAGGCAGATTGTGGCTGACACCCAGTCCAAAGCAAGTTTCTTCTGAAAGTCTCTGTCAGAGCATTCTACTCTTTCCCTTTGTTGTACATCACACAATTTGAAATTTACAATTTATTTGTTTGCATGTTTTTCTTCTCTCCTGACTAGACTATAAGCTCCTCAAGAGTAAGGACTACATGTATTTAAATTCACTGCTGCAGCCCCATTGCTCAGCACAGTGTCTGACCCACATTCAGATGTGCAGGGACAACAGTGAAGGAGTGAAGTGTTTTTGGAAAATCTAGAAAACAAAGAGATCAGCAAACATCTGCAGTTGGCACTGTATTCCTCTTCCCTGTGAGCATCATTCATCTAGTTCCCGTGATGTACCAAGAACTTCCAAAACAATGTCATATGGAAATTTTGATAGTAAACATTCTTGTTTTTTCCCTGAATTCAGAGAACTTCGTGCCTCAAAATAGTCCCCTTTTCAGAGTGTGTTGGATTTTAAGACTCCTTAAAGATAACCACTCCAATTTCCCTTTCTGAAGTGCTTTTGTTAGCACTGGGGGTTGACTCCTCCACACACCAGCCTCCTACCTGTGAGTAAAGAGTTGTTCCAAAATGACAGAAGAGAAAGTATGGATTTTATTCCACTCTCTTTTAGGCAACAGTGACTTACCGAAATGGCCTTGATGCACTCAAGGTAGGAGGTTTTCTTCACACAGCTGACAAAAGGACCATTTTCAAGGACAGTTTTCATATTTTCCATGAAACTGGAACACTTACTGGCCTCATGATTTGAAACAGTGCACCATCTCACAGTTTTCTCAGGGGAGACAGCCAGACACAGCCCTAGGAGAAAGAGGCCAGAGGTTGTGCTAGTGGGAGAGACAGAACACCCTCTGAAGGCTCTTGAAGTCTCCATCCCCTCCATCCTGTCCTCCTCCCATTAACACCACAGAGCACAGATTCTGTTGCCTTCTGAGGCTGGGGACAAGAGAATGGAATCCTAATGGCCTCCTAGTCACCTGCTAACCACCCTGTGCTAGCCAGAGGGATGCTGGCTTGACCATCAGCTCTCAAGTGGAGACCACAATAATCTGCTTTTCTCTGTTTTCCCTGCCTCCTTATCTCACCATCATGGGACTGCCAAGGGACATAAGCCTCATCAGTGTGACCGGACCTTTTCAGCCTCTTGAAGGCATTGGATTGATATGACAACTTGGGGAAGCTAGCAAGGTAGGAATTACCATCTTTTAAGGATGATGGAACTGGGCTCAGAGAGTGATGCTCCACCTAAGGTCACCCAGCCTGTTAGTGGCCAATACTGGCCTAGAAACCAGGTCTCCAGACTTTTGTCTCTGCCCAGGGAATAAAAGAAGATGACATTCTGAGTTATTTTCCATCTGCTTGGCCAGTAGGTAGGGATAAATGATTGATGAAATAATGAATTTGCCTGTGATACTCATCTATCATCCTCTGTTCCAGGAATAACTAGAACTCCACATATTCAGTGGTTCTTTCTGTTTCCAGTGACTCCTCTCTCAATTTTCATCAGTCTTCTGGGCTGCCATTAGGAGAAACTAAAACCAGCCATGTCTGTAGCTATTAAAATCATGTGGTTGCCCTGCTCCCAAAGACCTCTGTCATCTCCACTTTCTGTGGATAACAGCACAGGGCTGACTCAGGGAAGCTGATGAATATCCACAAAGCACAAAGCAGGAAAGAGAAAGGGCAACAGTTCTCCAGGATGCATAAGGAGGGGCCACAGGGAAATCAGTGCCCCAACCACCCTTTATCCCACATCTGCCCATGAGAAGTCATGGGAGGCATCAGGATTCAGTGGCAGACCCCTGCTAAACTGCCCCTCCTGAGGTCTCATGGGCAGGAATTTGTCCTGAGTCCTGCATTTACCTTGCACAGCCCTATGAGGTGCTTTGAGGGTGGGAGGGGGCCAGGGGCAAAGGCAAGTAATGCAGGGCCAACTCCCAAGGGTAAACTTTTCCGGGAGAGACAAATATCTAAACATAAGGCTCCAAAGGTATAACAAATGCACCAGGAGAGGCAGGCAAAAGTTAAAGGACAAAGGGAGCCAATCTCAGGAGGTGATGGGCGTGGCAGAGGCCATCCAGTCACAGGCCCCACAGCACGGATGTGTGCAACAAACTCCACTCCACTGGTGCCTGGATCCATGGCCTCATTTACCCTCACCTGACCCTCCCAGCCCCAGCCCTCTCACCGGTGAGGACCCAAGAAGCCTGGATTCAAATATGCTTTGAACCTCTCAGCAGCCCTGCTTCTTAGCAGGACATCTTCAGCGCCAAGGGCACCCATGGGACATCAGACTGCCAAGGGTGGGGGCGCGGTCAGATCTGGGAGGCCTTGAATGCCATGCTTAGCAGTTCAGACTCAACTCAGGAGGCCTCATAGAAGAGATCTGATAAACTATGATGGAAGTGCTCTTATTGTATTCTAATACCACAAGATTTACTGGACAAGGAGGAGGAGAGCAAGGAGAGGAAGCAAGGAAGCATGGAGGGCACGAAAAGGGGCAGAGGCACTAGCGGGACTAGCAGCTGCGCGCAGGCGCAGAGCTGAACCTAAGGCAGTGCTGAACCAGGTGCAGGGATGCGGCGGGGAAAAGCGAAGGAAGTGCTCCGGGCTTCTAGCCCAAGAGTGGAACCCAGGAGCCTGTGTGGCCCAGTGGAAGGTGCAAAGAGCTACCGGGCTGGCGACTCTGCGGACCTTCCCTGCGCCGGCACTCACCCAGGACCGCGCAGGCCAGCAGGGCGCGGACGGCGAGCCTCATCTTCCTGGGTCTGTGGCTGGGAGCCGGGAGCACAGGCCTGTGGGCTTCTGCGCAGTCTCCCCACGTCCGGTGCCCCTTTATCTTCGGCTCAGCGGGCCATGCAGAATCTTTGACCTCCTGTGTTTGCGCAGCCCTCTTGCCCAATCACCCCTCATCCCTCCCCCTTCATTCCTTCCCCAGGCCGATCACCTCATTTCCCGAGCTCTGGAAAGACCCACGAATGGTTTCCAGCACAAAAATGCTGATTGTAAGGGAATTAAAGAAAAATCAACCCTTTGTTAATGCGTGCTCTCTCCGTGCCAGGAGCGGGGCTGCAGCGGGTAGGGGCGGGGGTTGGGGCCAGTGGCTCTGCTCCTGAATCGCAGGATGCCAGAGCTGGTCCTGCACCAGTCCTATGTATTCATTCCACAGATAAAAGAGGGAAGGAGCTACCTTAGATCTAGAGTAGAAATGCAGAATGATAGGCAAAGACCTTCCCGAGAGAGGGTGTCAGAGAAGAATAAAGCTGGCCTCAAATCAAAGACAAGTTCAACACCCTTCGCTTGTTCCCAGGTGTCCCCAGAAACCCTGCTGCTGGGCTTTCAAAGGCCCTCCTAACTGAGGAATTCCTCTCTCTATATATGCCCCACTAAACAAAAACTCCTGGATTAAAAACCTTCCTTTCCTCCATGCAACGGGCTGGACACCTTGGCCGAGGGACAGATTCACAGGGGAGACAAATTCTCTCCCACAAGAAGCTACCCAAGAATGGGATGAAGAATCTAGAGACTCAGAACAAAGTGATACACCAGCACAAAGCAAGGGGCCCAGGGGAGGATGTAGCCTGGTCTCAATGGCTGGGTCATTGCTGTCTCCCTCCAGCTAAGTGGTTTCCAACTGGCTTTGATTACACATCCTTATTAGGAAAAATAGTGAGGTTATACATTCTGTGTATGTATTTTTTAAACTAATATATTGCGTACATTTCAACCATGTGAGGAATATAAATTTATAAAGCAATAAAACAAAGATGAAACATTCTTTTTTAGATGTTCCTTTGTTTATCCTGCCTTGTATACACTGAATAATATCTCAAGGCAAAATAATAGACTTAGAGAAAGGGCAAGGGTCCTGATAGTAGATGTAAGTCAATACTCCAGAAAGTCATCAAGATAATTTTAGGTTTCTTGAAAAGTTACTTATCCAGTTTGATCAGATGATTGTGGTTTTGGGCTCTATCTACACTAACTAATCTATACCAGTCCTTCTAAGATGCCAGTATTGTCATTTTATTTTTGTTCACTTGTGTTTGTGATATCAGAATCATCTTCTAATTCTAGTTTCTTTGCAGAAATGTTTTTAAGGCACTTGTGCGTTTTATGAGGTTTGGTGAGTTATACCACATCACCTAATCTGTACCTCCAATTTCCTGGGCACAAGAAAACCACAAAATGTGGAACCACAAAAGCCAAGAACAAAGGACAGGTCAGAGAGTCACAACCATCCATTACCCTCTTTCCCCCCCTCCCCTTTTGAGGTGTTCCCCTATCTTCCCTCAGACACTTTAGAGGTTCTGCAAGACCTGTATCTGTCTGGCCTACAGACCAGTGGGAGACAGTGCCAATCCTCATTCAAAATAGTAGTGAATGTTCGTTTGTTAATCTTTCACATTAAGAATAAATATAACTGGAAGTTAGGTTCTCTTCTCCCATACCCCAATAGATTGTCTCATATACAAGGGGTTACACACATCCCATTTTAGAGTGCATAGCTATATATAGTGGGGACTTTCTGTTTACAGTAGAGACATAAGACAAGCCTAGACAGCCTGCCTCACCATTGAGGAAGAGTAGCTGCTGCTGCCCTCCTTCGGTCTCTGCCCCTCATGGGCCCTCCTGCTTAAGCCATGGGAAACCCAGAATCATGGCAGGAAGGGCATATTCCTACATCCCCCTGCAGCAGGCATATTAGGGAGTGGCCTGGCTTCCTGTGGGAGACCTTGAGGTACAGAGATGAAGATGGAGGGAGAAAGTGAGGGGAAGGGCTGGCTGGGAGGAGTCATCACAGGAGACTACACTCAGCTGATGCCTCCTTAGGCCATGCAGTGAGCTTGCAGGGTCTGCCCAGAAGTAGGAGGGAGAGTTGCCCAATGTTGAATAACCCACAAACTCAGGGAAGCTCCGTGGAGGCCATGGAAGGCAGATGGACCATGATTCTCACCCCTGGGCCCCTACTGCACACTTACTCTCATACCAGAGGGGTTAGTGAAACTTTCTTGAGGCAGCTCCTTCAGGGACAGGCCCACAACCAAGCTTGAGCCCTTCAGAGGGAGCACTTTCTGGCCAGTGTTCGAGAATCCCCATTTTAAAGATGAGATAAGGAAACTGAGGACTTGAAGGATTAATAACTTGTCCAAAATCAACTGGTGAGTCAGATGCAAAATCAAGCAGTCTGGTTCCAGAGTGCATGTCCCCATCCACCAGGGACACTGACTCTCCCAGGAAATAGGGACATACAGAGACCAAGGGACTCATCCGGGATCACACTGAGAGGGACAGACAGGGCACCCCCAGCCCTGACATTTCTTCACAGACACACCTTCCCACATTTCAGTTTGCAGAGAGGTTTGTCCATCTGGGAGTGGGCTGAGCGCCCCAACTGCAGAACCTCAGGCATGCACCAATTTATTATGCTCAGATGGAAAGAAAGGATCACATTTTCAGTCCTTCCACGTGCCAAGCACTGTTCTGGCGTAAGATTTTTGTGATCTTGACCAACTACCTCGAGAGATGAGATCAGTTCCCCAATTTTCAGATGTGGACACTACACTAAAATGACACATCCTCCTTCATAGAGCTCTGGGACCTGAACTCAAATCTCCTAAGTCCCAGCCTTCTCTAGGCTACAGCTGCCTTCTGGATATTCATCTTCTCTTTCTTTATCCAGAAATGGAAGGGAGCAATGAAGGGAAGAAGGGAAGGAAGGAGACAAGAGGGGCTGAGGGGAATGAAAAAAGCTTCCAGTTATCGACCGAGCCAAGTCATGACCCAAATCTTCCACCATAAACTGAATAAAGCTCTTAAATTTCAGTGGGATTGGGTCTCTTGTAGAAAGAGCTGAACTTGTGTGTACGTGCAGGGGGTGAGGGGTGAGTTGCTGACCTAAGGGGACGGGCAGGAATGCATTGGCTCTCTGAACCAATATTTGTTGTTTCCAAACGTTGCCTCATTTGCAAAGAAACAGAGCAAACAAAGAACTTCTGTCTGGTTGAACCAGTCCCTCTCCCTCTTCCCCCTCATTGCTTTCTGCCCAACACCAAGTCTTCTCCTCTGAAAGACCTGAGTCTGGGTCTTCGGGAAGGTGGGATCAGGTAGCCGGAGAACTGATGCTCATCGACCCACTACCCCATAGACCTACTGCTCAGGAAGAGTGTGGTGAGAGAGGTGAGAACAAAGGGCACTGTCCTTTTAGAAAAATGTCAGGCCGTTGAAATGCCACACACGCCCAGCTCTCTCCATCTCAGTCCCCTCAGAAATCCCTGGACAAGGGAAGATTCTCAGGCTTCCATTCTTTTCCCAGAGGAGTCCATAAAAATATCATTTTCACAAATAGTCCAGGGCCAGACAGCTTCACCAGTGAATTCTACCAAACATTTGAGAAGAATTATAACAATCTTACACATATCTTCCAGATAATAGAAAAAGAAGGAGTACTCCCTGACTAGTTCTTGAGGCCAGTAAGTATAGTTTGAAAGCCAAAAACATCAAGGATATCATGAGAAATATTAAAAAAAAATAGCTTTTATGAGCATAGATGCAAAAATCCCAAGCAAAATGTTAGCAAATTGAACCCAGCAATATCTAAAAAGGATACTAAATCATTAGTAAGTTGGATTTAATCCAGGAATGCAAGTTATCTTTGGAAAAATCAATCAGTGTAATTGATCACATCAACAGAATAAAAAAGAAAAATTGTATGATTATATCAGTCAGTACAGGAACAGCATTTGGTGAAATTCAGCAACCATTCTTTTAAAATCTCTTAGCGAACTTATCCTAGGAAACATGTTTTATCCGATTGCATGTGTATGTAATATATATGAATACATAAAAGAAATGTTTTATATATATGTAAATATATGATTCATATATATATGTATGAAATCATCATACTCAGTGGAGGAATGGTGAATGAAAGCTTTCCCTTTGAGATCAAGAAAAAGTTCTACTGTTATCACTTCTATTCAACATTTTACTTGTGGACCTTGCCAATTCAGTCAAGTACAAAAAAGATATAATATGTGGAAGAATTGAAAAGGAAAAAATCAAACTCTCATTTTATTCTGAGGTTATTGCATTAGAAGAAACACAGAAGTGATTTGTCTCATCATCAATTCTGTTAACTGTTTGCTTGGTTAAGGTGGTGTCTGACAGATTTCTACACTGTAAATTTCCCTCTTAATTAATGAGTAGTTTGTGGGAAAATCTGTTGAGACTATTTAATATTTTATTCCCCATTAGACATGCACTGCCAAGTTTTAGCATCCATTGCTGTTTCTTGCCTAGATCAAGTATTACAATATTGATTGCCAAATAGTGATTTTCTGATTATATCATTCTTTGTACATTAATCAATTGACATTCTAAAGTAAACAAGTGCTTCCTGTTCTCCAATTATTTGTTTATTTCCTTTTATTTGTTTTTATCAGCATGGACTTGGGGGTTCCATCTTTCTCAGTGGGTTATAATCCTTTACTATCATTTTTTTCAATTTTTTATTGTGGTAAAATACGCATTACATAAAATTTATCATATTAATCATTTTAAGTGTACAGTTCATTCATATTGTTGTGTGACTGTGACTCTCCATTTCCAGACCTTCTTTTATCTTGAAAAACTGAAACTCTATACCCAGTAAACAAAAATTCCTCTTTTCCATCTACCCCTAGCCCCTGGTAACCATCACATTATTTCCTGTTTCTATGATTTTGACCACTCTAAGTGCCTCATTTAAGTGGAATCATGCAATATTTGTCTATTTTTGATTAGCTTGCTTTATTTACCATAATGTCCACAGTTCATACATGTTGTAGCATATG